TAAAAAGGCGCCCTATATATTGTTCTTTCTGGACTGTATTAAGTAACGCATTTGCATCACGGCTATAGTGTTAATTGCTAGTCTGTTTTCTGCACCATCATTTCTTTCATCTTATGAAATACTGTTTAAAAAATGGCAACTTATAATTAACCAAGGTAATAATACTTAACCGACCTGCGTTTATTTATCTCTCTGTCATTATTATCGTTAACATGTGTATAGTTTTAAGTGTATTTACTTATGCCATACATCGTACTGGTTAAGGAATGACACATCATCGTGAGATATATGTACTCCATACACATGAGCACAACGGTACTTTGATTCTATAGCACAGAAAATCGTTTCCCCGAGTTACTGTGTAAAGGTTCACCCCTTGTTTTCAGGCGTCTCATTCAGGCAAATAAGTCAGGTGTGACAGTTATCACAATAAAAAGATTTTATACCTGCCGACTGACACTCTTGATGGGTCAGTGATTAAGACAACAGATCAATACACACGCTTCCTATTCAGTATGTACGTATGATTACATGGCTGTGTGTACGCATGGTATGTATGGCTGTATGTATGATTAAATGTATGTAAATTATGTATGAATGTAAATGTATGTAAGCCTAGATTCAAAATAAATGCTTAGGTCGTTTGAAGCCAGAAGGCAGAGGTATTCCCGGGAAAGAAGCCAACTCTCGGAGTTGGTCACTAGAGCTGAAACTTCTCTCAAACTTTTTGAATAAGGCGAATGGACCAGAGTAGGCTTAGGGATTATCGGCTGCTGTGTGAAAACAATACTTCAGAAGGAACGACGTCCTGTCCCAATGAACAAACCTTCAGATTACGGATTGAACGTTAAAAGTGTCTGTCAGGTTTCTTAATGCTTAATTACTTTGCTGGAGAATATGTTTCTTGTACAAGCGCTATCAAACATGTTAACATACAAATATATCAATGTTGAAGTTAGGCTTCACTTCAGTTTTCCTTTATTTAGCAGGCCCCTCATACTGAAAAACAGCGTAACTGTTTATATTACTATATCCTTCTGTGCTTTACACCTATCAAAGCTATACATTACTAATATATATGGGCTTAATTTTATCTATATTGCAAACTTTCTCCCCCTGTAACCAAATCCATATGTTCTAGTATTATATTTGATATATCCGTATTTACATATATACACATCATTTATAATTAATAGTCAACATATATACCTATAAATCTTTACTCTACTCAATAATGTAACGTAATGTAATACATTAAACTCCCCCCCCCCCCCCCCCCGCCCCCCCCCCTACAATTAAGTTTGGTGGTTTATATCTATTTAGCATATTATTTATTATTCAACCCGACCTACCCCGTCGATGAAATACAGGACTGTGAAGTTGACGTAAAACCTAAAACTTGATGATGATGATAATATATGAATGTTAATGCAACAAGCGGTGCGTGTGAAGATATATTGAATACGTTTGACACATTAACCTATTTCTACACCTTTTTAACGGTAAAATTAGATACATTTAAACGTAAGTAGCATATAATGATGATGATAATATATGAATGTTAATGCAACAAGCGGTGCGTGTGAAGATATATTGAATACGTTTGACACATTAACCTATTTTTACACCTTTTTAACGGTAAAATTAGATACATTTAAACGTAAGTAGCATATAACCTTTGAAATTAAAAGGTCTTCAAGAAGATGTATTTCTTATAATAGAAGGTCCATAAGAGTATTTCGTATTTCGTTATGAAAAAATACTATCTTGATAATTCAATACTGGACATTTCCCAACACCCCACTTTTTGTTTGTTTATTGTAAAAGTTAATAAGAGGTTTGGTGGGGGACTAGAGGTAACATTTCAGATGGTGTTATTCTGGCATTACCCACTATTTACTGGAGGATATTGGAAATGAATATAGACTGTCATGTTGTCTGACTTCAGATAGGAATTGGTATCTTAACAATCACTGGGGGTTTCACATTAGAGGTGATTTTTACAACTGCCCAAATGATCCTGCTGAGTATTGGTGCTTAGTGATGTCAAATGGAACATTTTATTATTAGATAAATTTGGTAGTGAAAACTTACCATCTATACAAGATATATTCAGCCCTTTCTTTCTCTGTGTGTAATTCTGATGGAAAGAAGTCACTCAACCAGTTCATGCATTCCATAGTAAAAAAAGATCAGACTTGGTTAGAATCCGTGTTTATCTCCGACAACTTCCCACTGGTGACATTGTAGTGAACTTGGGAAGTTTTGATGACTTTTTATATTCATATCGTTATAATCTGCCAAACTGTACATAAATGTGTGTGTGTTAAATCATAAAATTCAAAGGGACTGTTCCCTACACCCATCAATATCATAATGAATGAACATTAGTTTATTGTATGGATTATAAAAAGCTCTCACTGAGTATATGTTTTATATGCATAAAAGATGGGATTAAGGGAGAAAGGAAATATTTTCATGAACGTTTCCAATAACTAGTGGAGGAAATTGGATATGGCTGAACCTGTAGATAGTGTAGAATCCGTGAAGGATTTGACAGATCTCACAGGGTAACATTCAACAGGCTCATTACCGTCGGATCGTGTTAACATTGTTCTTAACAGTTTAGCAAAAGAGAATTTTTTTGAAGTGAACTACATTGGAAAATGAGAGAAGAAATTTATTGTCAACGTTTTTATCATAAAAACTCTCTGTTCAGTAAACAACAGTTGTTATTTTAGTACTTTCAAGAGGAATCCCAAACCTTCTCTTACTGTTATGAATGTCTAAGTGAAGGCAAAAAAACATTAAAGTGCAACAAAGCATTTTCCATGGACTTGTTTATTTGCTTTTTTGATATACATGTGTTCAGACTGATTGAAAAATATACAATATTAACTATAAATTTCTTCCGTGTGTGAATGCGTGTAATACTTGCATATTGGCTCCCCAGTTCTCATAATGCTTCATATGAAAGCAAAATTGTGTGTTATATTAAGCCACTCGTTAAAATATCTCCTTCCCCCGTCACGAGATGAGAGAAACATGATATTTCACTCAACACATATCCTCTATTTATATAAGTCTCTGAAATCTTATATTACACAATATCCTTCTTGACTCTAAAAATATTTTAAAAATCCCTATGCTGGCTAGACTTGCTTTTGTATGCATTTCTAGATTATGTTTTTTCAAAAAATAAATATATTCCACGGTCATCGTGCAGGACTAATATATTGTGTGTATGTGTGATTTTATCGATCAAAATAAATTGTCCAAGATAATGTTTGAAACCATAATTATGCTTCATGCTGTTGAAGACAAGAAATTGTTTGCCACAAAAGCACATTGTTGCATGGTGTATTTATGTTTTTAATTAAGGCTCATAGTATTAATGAAATAAATATGTGGTATTGCAGCACTTGTTTTAACTTTTTTGTCTCCATACAAAATCATACAAAATTATTTATCCAAAGATGAAACTTGTACCAGGTCCCTAACTCAGAACAATCATGCCTTTCCCAAGGGAAAGTTAACAGTGAAGCATCTAACCAATGACAACAAACACTTCTCCCCTTACACATCTTCCCGAGGCAAGAGAGTTAACTGACTTTAAAAGTCCTGTTTCCACCCTTGCCGATCTAGGCTGGTATTATGGAGTTACAGTTTGGCTGGACTAACGAGTTTATCCATAGTCCAATCAAAATCTCGCAACGAAAACGAAATCCGGTTCGTAAACTGCCGTGCAGATTTCGGTCGACTGAAGGATTTGCAAAACATGTGCATCGCCAACTCGTTGTCAACAGATATTTTCCAAACCTTTGCATGTTTTTAATCAAGGTGCTAGCGTGATTTGATGCACCTCGCGATGTAAGACCCGTTTTATCACAATATAGATCTTGATTATCGATCAGATGACTGGGCTACGATCGAGCCCAGGAATTCCAACCTAGTTCGGCAAGGGTGGAAACTGGACTTTCGCAGTCAGTTAACTCTCCAGCCTCGGCAAGGTGCCCCTTAAAATGCCTCATAGAAATATTGAAAACATTGATGTCTCGATCATGACGACGGGTACCTAAAGTCCTAAATGTTCTCCTTTTCCTCACTTATATTCCTTGCTGTGACATGGGGGTTTTAGGTCGTAGAATTGCGATGCATATACACCTAAACTGAGGAGCAAAAACAACTATACATCTCAGTTGATTGTATCATATGTTTGATTTTCAGTTGAAATTATCTTATTATCATATAAAATAATGAACTGTACTGGCGCTTAGTGAGTTTTCAAAGAGTACTTCTAAATGTTTTTTATTTTGTATATTTTAATTTGATTTAATAATTATTATCATAAACATTTGTTTTCGCATAATACACAAGTGCTGATGGGTACCGTATTCGACGTAATGAGCGCCCCGCTCTAATAAGCGCTTGTGTTATATACACCGGTCCCTAAATTATGGGCTATTAATTTCAGGAAAAATATATCTACCGTATATAAACAGTTCAGACCGTCAGCATAAACCACGAAATTTATCTTTCAACTCCGTTTTTTTCACCAAAATAATATTCTAATAAGATCCCCCTATTTCTATTTTTGAGAGCGCCCTGGGCGCTTATTACGTCGAATACGGTAAATTAGAATTTTCCTTGAAAATCAAAATAATCAGCCACAGATTAGTGCTGCAAACCGTTGGTGACTGATGGATAACAGTCATTTCAATTATATAAATAAAGCGACAAAACCATATCCAATAGAAATCTCTGCATGAAGCAGAGTCGATTGAACGATTCCGACTATATCACAAGCAGGGAACCGGGTGTTCAGGCTCGCTGACTTGGTTGATGCATGTCATCGTATCCCAATTGCATGGATCGATACACATGATATCAATCACTGGAGTGTCTGGTCCAGACTCGATTACTTACAAACCACGGTCATATAGCTCGAATATTGCTGACAGCGGTGCTAAACAACAAACAAACAAAACAAACACAATACATACATTTCTACAAAATTTCAATTCCAATATTCTTGCAACATCAGGATGAAGGACACCGGAAATGGGTTTCACACATTGTATGGCACAAAGACAAAACTCTTTTACGACAGTTAAAGTAAAAAAAGTCTAAAGTCTAAATACAAAAGATAAATGTGTGGATAGCAATCCTATGGTTGTTGTATTGTCAATGACATCTTGGTGATAGTTCATACCTAAACGCCCTGATATAACATTGAAATATTGTAAGTGGCGTAAAACACAAATCACTTATAGTGCGATAACATTGTCACAACAAATGTACGGATAATCGCATATATGTCTTGCATGATATTAATCACTGGATTGTCTGGTCCAGCCTCGATCATTTACAGACCGCCGTCATATAGCTTGAATATTGCTGAGTGCGGCGTATTAAACAACAAATAAACAAACACACAAAAACTATCAAATAGTAATATAATAGGAATGATACTATGATAGTTAAAAAAATCCTCGGTTTACTTTCTTTTGCCCCTCAGTTTATATTGGTAGCATATTCTTCATAAGTAAAGATTAATGAAGACCTGGCTAGCGTATACATGAACAAACGATAATGTAAAATAATCTGAATACATTTCTGTACTATGGTGATTACATAAGGTGGTTACATAATGTTTAAACCTGTGAAGATTCCGGGGTTGAATAGGTCTTCAGCAACCCTTGCCTGTCGTAAAAGGTGACTATGCTTGTCGTAAAAGACGACTAACGGGATCGGGTGGTCAGGCTCGCTGACTTGGTTGATGCATGTCATCGTATCCCAATTGCGTGGGTTGATGCTCATGATATTAATCACTGGATTGTCTGGTCCAGACTCGATTATTTACAGATCGCCGTCATAAAGTTGGAATATTGCTGAGTGCGGCGTTAAACAACAAACCAACCAACCAACATAATGTTTACAAGATCTTGGTACGCTTTTCTCCTGCTTGTTATTGCGACATGACTTCTCATTCGAAATTGATGTAACTGTGAGGAGGTATCTCTTTGGTAAGCTCCATCTTAAATTCCTCGGCAGCGTTCCGGTTCGTGTCTTCCGAGTCCGAAGTTATGATATATTGACATCCAGCAATCGTCACAACCCTTGTGGACAGACGACTAACCTGGGACAGGTGCGCTTTCTCCGCGTACGTCCCCTTCCATAGGTCCTCTGGGAGGAACGATAAAGGCATTTGTGATTTGGACATTAACGACATATTTCAAATATTTAGGAAGATGTTCAATTTTGGACATTTCAGTCAAAACTACAATAACTAAACAATAGAATGGTATGATGCGTTCTCGTTATCAGTAATTCTTTAATATTCAACAGACATCAAGATTTTACTTTTGTAAATGTTTTAGTAGTGAAAGTAGTGTAGCAAATGGTTGAAGAAAATAAAAGCAACAAAACCCTTGTCATTCGGGAAGTTCGGGAAGGGGGAGTCTGAAGGCGGCTAGTGGGGCCTATACAGAAGCCCTTGCTCGTTTCTTATTTACTTGTCTACACCCGTGAAGATCCGGGTTTCAATAGGTCTTCAATCTTCAGCAACCCATGTTTGCCGTAAAAGGCGACTATGCTTGTAAGAGGCGACTAACGGGATAGGGTGGTCAGGCTCGCTGACTTGGTTGATACATGTCATCAATCCAATTTGTGAGGATTGATGCTCATGATATCAATTACTGGATTGCCTGGTCCAGACTCGATTATTTACAGACCGCCGTCATATAGCTGGAATATTGCTATATATTTAGTACGGCAAACAAACACGAATTGGACGAATTGGACACCTAATTGTAAACGCCGACGTCCTGCCCACTTCCAAAACAATTCTGTATTCTGAGTACGGAGAAATGCTGTTTTAAGACATTCGACAGTGCCACAATTCTGTACATTCATGAGTGCATTTCACAATATTCATTCTTGAGCACGGTACTTATGCCACTCCCACCTATTAGACCTAAACTATGTGTTTCAATATAATTTATTGATTATTTTCTTATACTGTGTCGTCATGTACTGATTTTGCAAATTTATAAATTAGTACTTTCTGTCGGTCTTATTTATTGGTGAATCATTGTGGTCCAACTTTAATATCACCTCGTAATAATTGGTACCACCATAGTTTTGTTTATGAACGTGTGCTTTAATTACTTTTTAAAAAAATATCAATATTTGCGAGATATGTACAACGTATATTTGCGGACGAAACGTGAGATAAACTAAAGTTTAGATATAAATATAAATAATTAAATGTTAAATCTTGAAACCAAAGACATAACATGAGGAGATTAAGAAAGAAGGAAATGTGCAAAAGGCAAATTATGTTAAAATAACCAGAAAACATAGCTTAAAAATATATGAGGAACGATATTTGATCAAGATATCCATATGCAAATCGCTTGAAAACGGTTTCATTTCTGTGTCGTGAGAAACGATTTACTAATATTTCTTGTAAGGAAGAAAATTTATGGATGTCAACTTCTCTATTATGAGGAACACAACGTTTCGGAGTGTATACTTACTCCTTCATCCTGGTGAACGATATCATGATGACGGAGTATATACTTACTCCTTCATCCTGGTGAACGATCTCATGATGACGTAGTGTATACTTACTCCTTCATCCTGATGAACGATATCATGATGACGGAGTATATACTTACTCCTTCATCCTGGTGAACGATCTCATGATGACGGAGTATATACTTACTACTTCATCCTGGTGAACGATCTCATGATGACGTAGTGTATACTTACTCCTTCATCCTGGTGAACGATCTCATGATGACGTAGTGTATACTTACTCCTTCATCCTGATGAACGATATCATGATGACGGAGTATATACTTACTCCTTCATCCTGGTGAACGATATCATGATGACGGAGTATATACTTACTCCTTCATCCTGGTGAACGATCTCATGATGACGGAGTATATACTTACTACTTCATCCTGGTGAACGATCTCATGATGACGTAGTGTATACTTACTCCTTCATCCTGGTGAACGATCTCATGATGACGGAGTGTATACTTACTCCTTCATCCTGATGAACGATATCATGATGACGGAGTATATACTTACTCCTTCATCCTGGTGAACGATATCATGATGACGGAGTATATACTTACTCCTTCATCCTGGTGAACGATCTCATGATGACGGAGTATATACTTACTCCTTCATCCTGGTGAACGATCTCATGATGACGGAGTATATACTTACTCCTTCATCCTGATGAACGATATCATGATGACGGAGTATATACTTACTCCTTCATCCTGGTGAACGATCTCATGATGACGGAGTGTATACTTACTCCTTCATCCTGGTGAACGATATCATGATGACGTAGTGTATACTTACTCCTTCATCCTGATGCACGATCTCATGATGACGGAGTATATACTTACTCCTTCATCCTGGTGAACGATCTCATGATGACGGAGTGTATACTTACTCCTTCATCCTGGTGAACGATATCATGATGACGTAGTGTATACTTACTCCTTCATCCTGGTGAACGATATCATGATGACGGAGTGTATACTTACTCCTTCATCCTGATGACTGATATCATGATGACATAGTGTATACTTACACCTTCATCCTGATGAACGATATCATGATGACGTAGTGTATACTTACTCCTTCATCCTGATGAACGATATCATGATGACGTTGTGTATACTGATTCCTTCATCCCGATGAACGATATCATGATGAGGTAGTGTATACTTACTCCTTCATCCTGGAGAACGATATCATGATGACGGAGTACATACTTACTCCTTCATCCTGGTGAACGATCTCATGATGACGTAGTATATACTTACTCCTTCATCCTGATGCACGATCTCATGATGACGGAGTATATACTTACTCCTTCATCCTGGTGAACGATATCATGATGATGGAGCATATACTTACTCCTTCATCCTGGTGAACGATATCATGATGATGGAGCATATACTTACTCCTTCATCCTGGTGAACGATATCATGATGACGGAGTATACACTGACTCCTTCATCCCGGTGAACGATATCATGATGACGTAGTATATACTTACTCCTTCATCCTGGTGAACGATATCATGATGACGGAGTATATACTTACTCCTTCATCTTGATGCACGATCTCATGATGACGGAGTATATACTTACTCCTTCATCCTGATGCACGATCTCATGATGACGGAGTATATACTTACTCCTTCATCCTGATGAACGATATCATGATGACGTAGTGTATACTTACTCCTTTATCCTGGTGAACGATCTCATGATGACATAGTATATACTTACTCCTTCATCCTGGTGAACGATATCAGGATGACGTTGTGTATACTGATTCCTTCATCCCGATGAACGATATCATGATGACGTAGTATATACTTACTCCTTTATCCTGGTGAACGATCTCATGATGACGTAGTATATACTTACACCTTCATCCTGGTGAACGATATCATGATGACGGAGTATATACTTACTCCTTCATCCCGATGAACGATATCATGATGACGTAGTATATACTTACTCCTTCATCCTGGTGAACGATCTCATGATGACGAAGTGTATACTTACTACTTTATCCTGGTGAACGATATCATGAAGACGGAGTATACACTGACTCCTTCATCCTGGTGAACGATCTCATGATGACGGAGTATATACTTACTCCTTCATCCTGATGAACGATATCATGATGACAGAGTATATACTTACTCCTTCATCCTGATGAACGATATCATGATGACGGAGTATATACTTACTCCTTCATCCTGATGAACGATATTATGATGACAGAGTATATACTTACTACTTCATCCTGGTGAACGATCTCATGATGACGGAGTATATACTTACTACTTCATCCTGGTGAACGATCTCATGATGACGGAGTATATACTTACTCCTTCATCCTGATGAACGATATCATGATGAAGGAGTCGATACTTACTCCTTCATCCTGGTGAACGATCTCATGATGACGGAGTATATACTTACTCCTTCATCCTGATGAACGATATCATGATGACGTAGTGTATACTTACTCATTCATCCTGATGAACGATATTATGATGACAGAGTATATACTTACTCCTTCATCCTGGTGAACGATCTCATGATGACGGAGTATATACTTACTCCTTCATCCTGGAGAACGATATCATGATGACGTAGTGTATACTTACTCTTTCATCCTGGTGAACGATATCATGATGACGTAGTGTATACTTACTCCTTCATCCTAGGGAACGATCTCATGATGACGGAGTATATACTTACTCCTTCATCCTGATGAACGATATCATGATGACGTAGTGTATACTTACTCTTTCATCCTGGTGAACGATATCATGATGACAGAGTATATACTAACTCCTTCATCCTGGTGAACGATATCATGACCGAGTGTATACTTACTACTTCATCCTGGTGAATGATATCATGATGACAGAGTATATACTAACTCCTTCATCCTGGTGAACGATATCATGATGACCGAGTGTATACTTACTACTTCATCCTGGTGAATGATATCATGATGACGGACTATGTACTTACTCCTTCATCCTGGTGAACGATATCATGATGAAGGAGTAAGTATATACGCCGACACGTTGTGTTCCTCATAATAAAGAAGTTGATATTCGTACATTCTCTGCCTTATGTGTGTCACTTCTAAATGCCTTTCAAAGACTTAAAATTTCACAGGTTCCCAGATCGATTGCTCCACAACGGTGTTATCTCCCTTTAATCGTCCAATGAAGCGGCCATGTCTTGCCCACTCGCAAACTGTCAAATATGCAACATCAATTCTAAATCTAACTTTTCAAAAAAACATCCATACCTGCAACCGGCGACCTGTCGATGTTAGCACGAACTTGCAGCTCACCCTTGCACAACTCTGCTAGTTTGGTGACAAATGGTGAAAATGTGTGGATTTCAGGGATGATGACTGTGACAACATGCACACAGCCGCTGGCTTTCGTCACTCCAGCGTGCACCAACCGAGCAGCAGCATTTGGTTTTTTCGCCATTGTGCCTGTAAAAGCATACATACATATAAAACATCAACATCCGAGAATAAACACTCTCAGATATCCGCCGAAACAGATTCCATTGGGCGGAAAAGGAAAAAAAGCGGTGAAAATTATATGAATGGATCACTGAAAATCAGTGCTGGAACAGGTGTTCAAGCAGAGGGTAAGCATGTCGTTCTCTAACGGTAGCACCCTCCACTTATAGAATGTGCATGAAAATGTTTCCCGACGCAACGGTGACATGTAACACACCAGACAATCAGACACACAAAACAAGATACAGTAAACTACGGTTATAACGACCTCAAAGGGACTACTAATTTTAGTTCGTTATAACCGTAGTTCGTTATAAATACATATACAGCATGACTACAGCAAGTAGTCGGGACCAAAAAGTAAGTTCGTTATATCCGCCAGTTCGTTATAAGCGTGTTCGTTATAACCGTAGTTTACTGTAGATGTTTGAAAGTGTCAGTGCTACTCAATGCAAATTGACGTTTGTACATTATTGTTATGGAACCAGGGTTCGAGGTGATGAACTGATATATTCAGTTATATCGAGAGTAAAGACAACCGCAGATTCTTCCTGGGAAAATTTCTAAAAACCTGTCCATTGTTTCGACAGGGGAATGATCAGATTGTTATTGCATGAAACATAATATCACCAAAACATCCCCCAAGCTGACCCGCTGACCAGATGTATCTAAGCTGTATAAGATACCATGCCTTGACTAGAATGGTAACAAACTGAAAGACATTACTTACCATTTAAGTTCTAGCCTCACTTTCAGGACCCAATATAATGCAGGATGAAGGAGTAAGTATATGCACTTTGGATACATAACTAAATGCCTTTATGGATGCAGTCATCGTGCCAGCAGCTCTCACCTGAAGGAGCGATGGGGATGGTGATGGTGTTGCGCTGTAGTTTGTCACCAGCGTTTCTTATCCCTTCTGCAATAGCTTGACTCGCGAGTTCTAGCTTGTTCTCAGGGCAGTAAGAGTGTATCAGCGTCCCCGTAGCCAGGGTTGTACTGTCCAGAGCACACATGGTCTCGCTTAGTTCAGACACTGTAACAACGGGTATTTTTATGAGAAAAATAAACAGATAACAAAGACAGATATGACACTATTGTGTGACATTTCGCAATTTATTACTGCTATGGCTTGATACCTCAAATCGTGTTGACTTCAGAGCTGGTAGATATATACTGATGAGCCAAAGCTAAGAAAGGCATGCTCCGTGGACATACATCGATCCTAAATTAATGAATGAGGTTCGGTGAAATGGGGATTAACGTCGCGTTCAAGATTATTGCACTTATATGGCGACTAGCAATGCACGTGAGTGTGGCTGCGTGTACTAGTCCGGGTCTATGCCCATTTTATAGTGCTAACCCACTGAGATACCATGTCACAGTTTAACATGAATACCCTTCTCAGACACAGTATACTGACCCCAAGCCGACCAGTCCTCTTTTCGCCCCTTATTGCCGTGCGCCAGGCAGTTAACAAGTACCTTCTTTTAACATCTTTTGGTATGACACAACCGGGGATCGATCCCAGGACCTTCCGCAGATTCTCTACCAGTCAACCACGGAGGCGGTGAATGAATGAATGAATGAGAGATTGAACGATCTTTATCGATGATCTATGTTTTCTGCATCGATAATCCATATGATATTAGTGAGTGAGTATGGTTTTACGCCGCTTTTAGCAATATTCCAGCGTTATCAGGGCGGGGGACACCAGAAATGGGCTTAACACATTGTACCCATGTCGGGAATCGAACCCGGGTCTCGGCGTGATGATCGAGCGCTTTAACCAACTAGGCAACCCCCATATGCTATTAAACACAAACCATAAGCGGCGCCTTGCCATTCTATTCTTTGTGGATATATGCTCATAAGCCCTGGATTCTCTGCCGGATCTGTAATACAAGGTATACATAGGTTATGACTATTTCTCTCGGAACGTTCATCTTGTGGTACTTTGTAGAAAAAAAATGTTTGAACATTTTCCACGAATTTCATGTTTTGGTTCACAAATTTGTTTGTTGTTTCACGCCACTGTCAGCAGTATCACGGCTTTACGGCTTCACCAAAATAATCGCGTCGGTACCAGACAAACCAGTGATTGATATTATGAGCAAAGTGATATTGCCTGTCCACCCAATCCATTTACTGTGACAACCAAAGGTTACGAGAGACTTTATTCACCACCTAAACATTACATACCTCATACGATTTAATTCATGATTTTACTTTACTTTATCTAACCCGTGAAGATCCGGGGTAGAATAGGTCTTCAGCAACCCATGCTTGCCGTTAAAGGTAAGTATGCTTGTCGCGAAAGGCGACTAACGGGATCGGGTGGTCAGGCTCGTTGACTTGGTTGATGCATGTCATTGTATCCCAATTGCGTGGATCGATGCTCATGATGTCAATCGCAGGATTGTCTTGTCTGACTCGGTTATTTACAAACGGCCGTCATATAGCCGGAATATTGCTGAGTGTTAAAACAACAAACAAACAAACAAACAAACGTACAAACAAACAACTTACTCTCTATCTCCTTATCATTCCACAGAACAAGGAGAACCTCCGTGACTTCCTTGGCATCATGCACCTCGCCGTTTACAACCTGCAGAAGGGTGTTACCCACGTGGACTCGAACCTCGCACTTCCGCTTGTGGTCCTTTTTCATCTCTATACATAGATGCGAAATAGAAACATTTACCGCAGACAATAAATATACATCCACGAAAATAGAAAGTCACAAAAGATAACGTGTTGAGGAAAGTCATTTGATCACACAAGTGTCATGTAACATTATCCATGTTGCCTAGCAACTCTTTATTCCGTAGATGTCAGGAGCATTATATTTACCCTCAAGGCAAAACTGTTCTATCTATCCATTGTTATTTCGCGGATTACCATGGGAAAGTTTGTATTTACTGTTACGTGAGTGAGTGAGTATAGTTTTACGCCGCTTTTGGCAATATTCCAGCAGTACACCAGAATAGGCTTCACACATTGTACCCATGTGATGAGCGAACGCTTCAACCACTAGGCTACCCCACCGCCCCTTACTGTTTAGTAGGGTACTATCTAACATTCATCTAATGTATATAACGATAGTATTTAGATCTTCTATCAACGCCATTTCGACTTCGCACCTTCGTGAAACTCCTGTATTCCCGTGAGATGCCTTGTCTTCAGCTTGTATGTATGGCGATGAGCTAGAAACAGCTAAAAAACAACAAAAAACAGTTTTAAATGCTCAGGAACTACATACATTAGACCCTCTTTTCAACCAAAAAAACAATAATTAACATTGGTAGCATAAACTTGTTATAACTTGCTGAAAATGTAGTTTAAAGATCACAAATCATCGAGTGAGCGTGGTTTTAACACAAATTTGAACAATATTTCAGTTATATCACAGCGCGCCCTTTATGTCTCATGTATTTGACGTTTACATCTTTGGTAAACCCCACATGCATGTGCCTGGTGCTGACTAACCAACAAACATAATCAGGATTCGAACCAACGCTCATAGGTGTCTGGCACGCCCGAGGGACGTAACCCTGCGCCACGATATTGCGCCAAAGTGGACGACATGATCGCAAGTGCGGCCCACACAAGAATAATAACTTCAGAAAACTAAACAATACCTGTTTCACCGAGAGCTTTGTTTCGGGGTAGATCACGATAATGATCTCACTGATAGACCCAGTTCCCTTGTCCTCGTTGAAGAGACGGATAGCTTTGTACATCAGCTGGACCACGTGTTGGACTGGGTACTTCAGGACTCCAGTTCCAAGGGCAGGGAAGGCAATAGAGGTGTACCGTTTCTCTGATGCCTTGATGAGACAGTTGAATACCAAGGACACCATCCACTGCACAAGGAAACAGATCTGAACTACCCTTTGGGAATATTTCAATTGAATGATGTTGCGAAATTCAGTGTTGCAGATTTATGATATATATTAATGTATATTATTGCTCTGTGTCATGTAGAACCCAGTCTACCAGAGCATTGAGATGTTGGATGTTTTCTTACCAACTGTATTCACGGAGGATCTAAACATCTAAACAAGTCTGTTGATGTAACACATGAAATTGTCACAACCAAGTTGATGGTAGTCAAGATGCTCTTTCAAGAGTGTGTGTGCTTGTACTAGTGCAGATTGAAGCCGATTTTATAGTGCTAGCCCAGTGAGACACCATGCCGCAGTTTAACATGAATACCCCTCTCAGACACAGTATACTGACTCCGAGCCGACCAGTCCCTGTTTTAGGCCCTTAATGTCGAGCGCCAACAAGCAGGGTAACAACGAGTACCATATTTTAACATCTTTTGGTAGGACGCGGCCGGGGATCGCTCCCCGGACCTTCCGCTCTCCGGGCGGACGCTCTACCACTAGACCAAGGAGGCGGACAGTATTCAGATGAAAATGGTTCTATTTGCAGTTTCATTTATTCACAAAACATCAGCAATTATAATTCTACAACAGAATCACTGTTGCATATTTAAGTTTACCAATGTATCACATGAAATCACTGGTTGTTCTCTTCAGGATTATCCGCAGAAATGCCAAGACTTATTTTAGTGAGTGAGTGAGTAAGGTTTTACACCACTCTTAGCAAAAGTCCAGCAAAATCAAGGCAGGGGACACCAGAAACTGGCTTCGCACAGTGTACCTTGTGGGGGAGCGAACTCGGGCCTTCGGCGTGAAGAGCACAAGCTTTAACAACTCGGCTACCACACGCCCCAACAGTTTTTCAGCTTGTAATAATTACAATACCAAAGAAGGCTATCAAACAGGCATTGTTCTTGGCATTGCTACCCACCTTAAAACATTCTTCTTCTTCCTTCTCATAGTTTGGACTACCTTTCTCTGGGAATGAAGGAAGTGCGCCATGATAAATGGTCTTACAGGTTTTGATATTGCCAGGTCCGGATTCTGCCACCTCTCCATGTTTGATGCCATTTGGATAATCTCGCTTCAGTTGATCATGGATGGCGCTTCCAGCGGCCTGGGAAATACACCGGGACACTCCCTGCCCTCTGTCTAGGACCAACTCCCCGTTTGTGGTGTTTACAATGACATCAGCCTGAAAATTGAGAATATAGAAATGAATGGAAGCCACACGCATAGTCTGGTATTTAAGAGTTGTCCAACCATAAGATATAATTAATAAATACATATATTGTAATTATATGATTATTGAAATATATGATGGAAATATAATATTATATAGAGCAGAAAACATTATTCCATTGTCTTCACCATATGACTGTTGAAAGAAATAATATGAATCAATAATACCTGTTGTTTTTCAAGAGCATTCATAACAACCATTACTTTCCTTGTCTTTTGTTCTGTAAAGAAAATACTTAATGAATGATTTCAATGAATGAAAAATATAAATCATTTTTTCAAACTAGTAAGTTCTTGAAAATTATACTTTTGGTTGGAATAGTTAACAATGCCAACAAATTGATATTAATAGGAAAACATTTTTTGCGGTCTTTTTAGATGGTTTGACATACCTGATATACTTAGACTGAGTGAGTCTAACGTTCGTGAAGGAATGGATTGCATGTGACCGAAATGTTCCTGGGTAGAAATGATGCATTTATACTTCTCACCAACGCGTTTCGAGACACCTGCGACAGCTGTGATACTTATGTCAGGACCGATAGTTAGGGTGAAGCTTGTGACACGCTCAACTTCACTTTTAATGCTTTTCACTACTTCATCAATCTCCTTTTGAGGTCCCCTAACCCTTATTTCATTTCTCTGTGTTGTCAACTGTACTCCGGTGAGACGTTCCTTGAGGGCATCAAACTGTGTCCATTTATACTGGCAAATATATTTGAGACAGTCTTCAGACATTTGAACGCATTCTTCTTTCATATTTGCAGTCACTAATGGTTCGGTAGATTCATGCCTCTGTTTTGACCGTTGTACACAGTGATCTAAATGACGTATGGCACCAGCAGGGCCGACTACCGTCACCATCGTGTCATACTTGACAGCCAGTACTTGTACGTCTTCATCTCTTGAACCTTCTACAGGTGACGTCTCCATGCAATCCTCCATATCCTTGATTTCATCTGACGGAATGTCCACCTCACATATACTGTCCTTGATAATCTGAAGAGCATCTTGGTCCGTCTTCTCCACTGGTTTGGAGATAGTGACTGTAGATTTGGCAAAATCAAAATCGCAGCTATAACCTTTATCCTTCAGATTTCGTTTGATGCTTCGTCGTGTTGCTGACTTGTCTTTGAGATACTGTATCTGGGCTGGGGACAGCGGTATTTGATAGGTATGTGCTGGGAGAAGAACATTTTCTGGAACACAATATATTTTATTTTGCACGATATTCACGTGAATACACGAGATATACCTCAAATTAACGTTAAATATGTGTTAACAATTAATGACTATTTAACATTACCTCAAAAGTAAAACGGGAGCAAAAGGTTACCCTATGAAAACACACGAAGTTAGCACTCTTCGGCCCCGTGAAGATCAGGGTTTGAATGTTCTTCCACAAATGTGCTGACCGGATCGAATGGTCAGACTGACTTGGTTCATGTATGTCACCGTGTCACAATTGCGTAGATCCATGCTCATGAAATCAATCACTGGATTGCCTGGTTCACACTCGATTATTTACCGATCGCCTTTAAATAGCTGGAATATTGCTGAGCTGGCCATTAAACAACAAACAAACAAATAGTACCTTTCGCGTCATGGATGAAAAGAAAACTGCTACTGTTGACTCCTAGCTCCTCCGCCTCCCCAGCCTCAGACAGGAAGGAACGAACTTGTTGTATGGGGTTCCGACTCACATTCAGGTAGCGACCCAAAGACATGATGCTACCTAATGATACAGAATAGATACTTTTATATATTATAGAATATTTAAGTCCACCTTGGACAGAATAAATATGCCGATTTTGTTTTAGGATAAACTTAAATGTAAGTACATTGTATATGGATTATATTGTAAATTTCATCACGATCTATCTGTCTTTCTATCCCTCTATCAATCTATCCCGAAAATTGAAATAAAACGTATATTAATACGATTGATATAAAAAAGGTGTATAAATTCCGCCGTACTGGACCCCATGTATTTACATTGAGTGAGTGAGTTGGGTTTAACGCCGCTTTTAACAGTATTCCAGTTATATCACGGCGTGTCAGCTTAATGTGGGAGGAAAGCCCGAAGTGATGCAGGTCTCAGACGTTGACCACTTCGGTGAAACCCACGAGCACGGGTATGGTGCTGACAAACCTAGAAACATAATCGGGGCGAACCGGGATTCGAACCCACAATGATAGGTTTCTGGCGTGCCGAAGGGACGCAACTCTGCACAGCGAATCGCCCTTAGACGACTGGGCCACCCGTGCCCCCCTATTTACATTGAGAATATAGGAACGTGCGTCGCCGACATAGAATAGTGGTCTGCTATAGGTTGCGGCATAGATGAGTTATCTCCCTTTGATTACTGTTGTGATTTTCTGACTTCCTGCTTTAAAAACAATATTGTTTCTTTACAGATATGAATGGGTGTTCAATTGAAAATGTGATGATAATGATGTATGTGTGTTTTGTTTGTGATGAATATGATACTCAAAATCCATGGCAGCTGCAATTGTGGATTGACATATGCATTTTGTTATGATAAAATGTGAGGTTTAATTTATCGACAAAGCCGTAAACTAGTTTTGTACAAATATATCCTTCAATATTCCTCTAGATAACTGGAAGTACCTGGAAGCATTGCCTGTGCGGAATGACATACATTCACATGCAATCCTTTGATAAATATGCGATGACATTCATAGAGCGATGTTAACTTTCGGTTTCGTTATTACGAGCGTTTTAGTTGTCAGATTACCTCTTTATAAGATGGCACGTCATGTGAACACAATAATTTCTCAATTACCTGCCGAAACAGTTTCCATTAGGTATAAAAGGTAGAAAAGTCATGAAGAAATATGAATTGATCACTGAAAATCAGTGATGGCACCAAGAAAATCATGCGACCTCAAGATATTGTCTGACACTGGGCATGTACAATCAATATCAATGTATAGGCATGAACTAGATTATGGCTGTGATTTCTACATTATATGTATTGCCACATATAGTACTGATTGCATTGGGAAATTTCAAAGCTGACCTAGTAAGCAGATAGGTGATATAAGATTTGTTTATTTACTTACTGCGAGAAACCTATGCTTGTCACTGCTGTAGTCACCACAACAACAATGGCGGGCGGACTGAATAACCGTGCAGCGTAACCTAGTTGTAATGTTGTATCACACTTTTGAATACAAAAGCTCTCGCATATCTTTATTACGAAAGTACACAAAGGAATATTCGTATTCCGATCAAAAAGTCTATTTCTGTCGCCTAAATGCTCTACTTAATCATATACAGTAAAGTACGGTTATAACGAACTCAAAGGGACTACTAATTTTAGTTCGTTATAACCGTAGTTCGTTATAAGCATATACACAGCATAACTACAGCAAGTAGTCGGGACCAAAAAGTAAGTTCGTTTTATCCGTCAGTTCGTTATAAGCGTGTTCGTTATAACCGTAGTTTACTGTATGTCACGATGTCAACCACTTGTTTTGTTTACAATCTGTCGTCATTTTGTTTGCGTCAATGCATTTTAAATACATTTACAATAACACATGAGAACTACTGAGTGGTAAAGGAGTAATAGCGGAATTCAGTCATATTCCGACCCGTGAAGATTCCGGGGTAGAAAAGGTCTTCAGCAACCCATGTTTGCCATAAAAAGGCGACTATGCTTCTCGTAAAAGGCGACTAACGGGATCGGGTGGTCAGGCTCGCTGACTTGGTTGATGCATGTAATCGATCCCAAATACGTGGATCAATGCTCATGATATTAATCACTGGATTGTCTGGTCCAGACTCGATTATTTACAGACCACCGTCATATAGCTGGAAGATTGCTGAGTGCGGCGTTAAACAACAAACAAACAAACAAACAGTCATATTCCATCTTACAGGGAGTTCTGATAACGACATATACCACTATGTATGTGCACTGCATGTAATATAGCTGATTATTGGACAACACTGTATGCATGAAACCCAACCAAAACAAAACATCTTTGATTAGGTGCACATGCAAGGTACTGCAGGTAGATACATACAAATACCCAAACACATCAGTGGGTAAGTGACCCGTGAAGATTCCGGGGTAGAATAGGTCTTCAGCAACCCATGCTTGCTGTAAAAGGTGACTATGCTTGTCGTAAAAGGCGACTGACGGGATCGCATGGTCAGGCTTGCTGACTTGGTTGATGCATGTCATCGATCCCAATTACGTGGGTCGATGCTCATGATATCAATCACTGGATTGTCTGGTCCAGACTCGATTTTTTTACAGACCGCCGTCATATAGCTGGAATATTGCTGAGTGCGGTGGAAAACAACAAACCAACCAACCAACCAGTGTATAAGTGTGTCAGTATATAGCTGTGTGTATATCAATTTGATTAATATGCTTGACATAAAATTTGGCATTTCCTTTGATAAAGTGTTAAGACCAATGTATTGTAGAACAGGTAGCCTACAACAAATCCTCATTTTACACACATTTTGCAATACTAATAATACTTAAAATAATAATTTAATCCGATTAGTTACAGACACCAATTACTACAGTAACTACAGTAATCTACGGTTATAACAAAACTCAAAGGGACCACTAATTTAAGTTCGTAATAACCGTAGTTCGTTATAAGCATATGTACAACATATATACAACAAATGACCGGGACTAAAATATAAGTTCGTTATATCGGTCAGTTCGTTATAAGCGTTTTCGTTATAAACGTAGTTTACTGTACATGTAAATGCAAGAATAGCATACATAACACATCCTGGATTATAAGATTATGCATTACCCAAAGAATATATAAACAGCTAATGCCAATAGAATGATACACTCCAACTAACGTGCTTAGAAATACTTTCTTTGCTTACCTAATATAGAGCATGTACCTCCACAGGCGGGTTATCAGGTATAACAGAGATGTGACTATTTTCCAACCTGGTGATATCGTTATCATAAATCAGAGTCCATTTATGTTAGATTGATATCACGTTGTGGTAGTACATATGATTTAACACATGCCATGTGCAGCCATACAATAAATGATCAAAGATACAAAACACAATTCCATATGAATACATTCGATCATCTGATATGCAACGGTTGCATTTATAGAAATAAATATTGCCTATTGTCCATAAATGTCCATTAATTTCCACAAATGTCCATAAATGTCCACAAACTATATTTCCAACGGTCGTGTCTTTAGTTCTGTTTTCAAGTCTGATGTAACTGACTCGCTGACTTGGTTGATGCATGTCATCGTATCCCAATTGCGTAGATCGAAGCTCATGATGTCAATCACTGGATTGTCTGGTCCAGATTCGATTATTATGACATGCATCAACCAAGTCAGCGAGCCTGACCACCCGATCCCGTTAGTCGCCTTTTACGGCAAGCATTGGTTGCTGAAGACCTATTCTAACCCGGAATCTACAAACCAATCAATAAAATAAATGTACGGTAATAAGACTCCTAAGAGGGAACAGCAGATCTGGATCCATCGAAGAGATCTTTATTGTGATATATCCAGAACAAAACAACTATCTGTTGCAAATCGGCTTTCAAAATTCATTACTAAATGTGTCAACAATTAGTGCTATTCTGCAACTAATCAGTCCTCCGCCGCCTCCTCAGCAAGAGATAAGAAAGACCTAATTTCTCGAATGGGGTTTCGACCTAGGTTCAAATAGAGCCCTAAGACATGTTGCTACCTACAATGATAGAAAATGTATAAGTTTATTAAATAATGTCTATAATTCCTTTAGCTCCTATAGCAATAATTGCTGTTCTGTCGAGAATCATGCCAGACAAGCAATGCAGCAACAGACACATTTCGGATTGGCAGTTAAGAAAAGAGAAGTAACACATCGATCCGCATTCTGATCCCTACAACTTATTTCATTTCTGGAGGAGTAGAGTACATGAGCTGGAGCATGGGTAGTTGAAGTCACACTTATGTCCTAATTAATTCATTAATTGTGTCTGTGAAAATGAATCAGTATTAACTAGTTAGATGGTGCATTATTCCTGCAGTTGTGGTGTTTACACTGGGAGTGAGTGAATTGTGTTTAATTCTTCAGTCAGCAACATTAAAGGAATCTTATAGCAGCCAGTAAATAATCGAGTTCTGATCAGGCAAACACGTGACTGAAGGTCTGTGTAACAGTTGTGATACGATGACATGCCGCCAGCTAAGGTTACAGCCCTGACCTCCCGAGTCTGCTCTGATGATTTCGTTCGTTGGTTTGTTGTTTAACGCCGCACTCAGCAATATTGAAGCTATATGACGGCGGTCTGTAAATAATCGAGTCAGGACCAGACAATCCAGTGATTAATACCATGAGTATCGATCCACCCAATTGGTATCGATGACATGCATCAACCAAGTCAGCAAGCCTGACCACCCGATCCCGTTAGTCGCCTTTTACGACAAGCATAGTCACCTTTTACGGGCAAGCAAGGGTTGCTGAAGACCTATTCTACCCCGGAATCTTCACGGGTCTCTGCTCTGATGAAATATATGGCGTTCTTGCACATGAATCGGCAGTGGTTTGCAGTAATCTGCAGTTGACGATTGATCAGATCGCTTATCCCCTTTGGTTATTGCCTGATACTTCTTTCAGCTTAATTCGAAAACAAAAACATTTCACTGATGCAGTTTGACGATGGCATGTTTGTTTACCTGGTAATTGTTTTTGTTTGTTTGTTAATTGTTTAACGCCGCACTCAGCATTATTTCAGGTATATGACGGCGGTCTGTACAATAATCGAGTCTGGACTAGACAATCCAGTGATTGACATCATGAGCATCGATCCACGTAATTGAGATTGATGACATGCATTAACCAAGTCAGCGAGCCTGACCACCCGATCCCGTTAGTCGCCTCTTACGATTTACTGGTAATTAATTATTATGAATTTGTCTATTGTAATATCAGTTGTATTGGCGGTCTGATAGTAGTAGTATTTTAGGCGGTCGGTTCGTCGACGACCCGGGTTCGATTCCCACCTGGGTACAATATCTGCAGCCCATTTCTGGAGTCCCTGGTCGTGATTTTGCTGGAATATTGCTAAAAGCGGCGTAAAATCATACTCACTCACTCTGATAGTATTTACTTAATTCAGCAGCGATACATTACAAAAATACAATGTACATGATATAGTGTATTTGTAGAAAGACATTTCAGTCCACAAGAAAGTATAATGCGAGTATTACGAACCTTTGCGTTGTCCGATAACCTCTTTAAAACAGGAAGTGTCAGTGTATGGGACACTAGCTAGGTGTGATGCTGAGATTTCAGCTATGCTGGCGGCCATCTTGGATTTTCTACCACTAGGGGGCGCTGCAAACTATATTTGAATTATATACAGCTTTGCTGAAATCCATTCCGCATGCATTCCTCTGGATATATTTATAAATGGATCAGATAAGTATGATATATTGAGTATATATTGATACCATTAGAGAGTAAGGATAAGAATTTATGGATGAACAACTTCTTTATTACAATTAAGAGCGACGTTTCGATGTAGGTTCCAACGCCGTTATCAAGCAAGTCGGTTGATGGTTGAGATTGCCACGTCTCCATGAAGACGACGAATAACGGTGTTAGAACCGACACCGAAACGTCGCTCTTAATTGTAATAAAGAAGTTGTTCATCCATAAATTCGTATCTTTACTTAGTACTACAACTTCTAAATGCCTATCAAAGAAACCATTAGAGAGTTTCGGCCATGTTGGCGGCCATCTTGGATTTTCTACCACCAGGTGGCTCTGCTGAGGTGGATCCATATCCAGAAATGTTCAAAATGGTTCAATGTGTGCCAAGTTTGTTGCTCTTAACCCAAAGTGCATAATTTTAGCCTTAACCGCCCCACTATGGCGCTCAACCTTTTGTTTACAACAGCAAGGAAATATTCATATCACAATAACGGTCCCGTCTGACCTATAAGCATCTTACTTAGTGATAAGCTCGTTGTGTTGATAATCATACTGCCATTTTGACATAGTTAATCATTTACAATTTTAAATAGTAGGTTTGTCAGTTTGTTTGTTATTAATTAAACACTCGGCAATATGCCAGCTCTGTGACAGTGGTCTGGAAATAATCGAATCTGGACCAGACAATACAGACAATATATAATCAAATGATTTCATCAGGTGTATAAGTATTAAATATAAAAAAAACAGAGTCCAGAAATTCGTGCTTGTCAAAATTCCTTTATCCACACAAGATCTTTCGCCGTTCAACGGCTCCTCGAGTGTAATGAAAACTTTAACTTACATTGTAGTGCTAGGCGACGCAAAACAGTAGTACTTGTGGCGTCATAATGCCTATGATGTGACAGTGACAATAGAGGGAGAAGTACAACGTAGTCCTATATATTGATGACGGTTGTGTGGACAGTAGTGAAACGTAGACACTGGAATGTGGATCAGTCAGTGCCTGATTGAAGGGGGGAGTCAGGGGCATTCAGCATACATCTCTCTCTCTCCCTCCATCTCTCTCGCTCTCCCCTTATCTCTGACTCTATCTCTATCGCTCTCCCTCTCTCTCTATCTCTCTCCCTCCATCTATCTCCCTCCCTCCATCTCTCTCCCTCTCTCTCTCACTCCATCTCTCTCTCCCCACCCCTCCCTTCACCCCCCCCCTCTCTCTCATACTCATCAGCTACATGTACATGTTGTATATACTTTGATCAAGGCCATCGGGTCATGATGTCACTACAACAGTCAGGTCGTATGCACCGTGATATCATTAGTCAGTAGTCCTACATCAACATAACTTCAAGCTTGTATGCATAAAGATTCAGAGTAGCAAAACACTCCCCACAAGACTGTATCACAAGAGGGATGACTTCAACTTCCAATAGTCAACTTTCCCTTTATGTTGAACAAATTCCAGAGCTCCAGCCTTTGGTGTCTCCATTTCACAAATTTGGATGTAGTACAATGGAGCATGTCCTTTCTACGAAGAGATAAAACGACTCTTGCTTAAACTTGTGTGAGTTAACAATATTCAAGGCCTCAGAAAAGCTTTCACAACGTTTTGTGCTGGACAATTTCCAAATCTGACGCATCGGTAAAGAATTATGTCCGACGCAATTCCCTATTTTGACTTGTACCATGTTTTCCAGTGTTTTTTAAGATGAATAATTTCTTTGCATTTACCATTTCGCGAACATCTAGCATCATCACTAGTTCATAGTGGTTCTTAAACAGTGCCATCGACTCGGCTTCTAGCAGTGATTTCTTGTGAGCATGGAACGGGTTTAGTCGCAATATTTATTGCAAAGACAGATAAAATCACTAACAGTGACATGTACTGAAAGATAATCAAAACTATATGACACGTTCATGGTTGGTTGATTTGTTGTTTAACGCCGCACTCAGCAATATTGAAGCTATATGACGGCGGTCTGTAAATAATCGAGTCTGGACCAGACAATCCAGTGATTAATATCATGCTCATCGATCCACGCAATGCACGTTCAGGAAAGACCTTGATTAACCTGGTCAATTATACAACAGTAACTAGTTCAAGCCCTCAATGCATGCACTTTGTATTTGAAAGAACGAGTCATTAATCAGGGTTGTCCTGTTTTGGTGAGCAGAGTCTCACCCCTCAGCTACAAAAACTTCCTCGTAATAGGTTAAAATTTGGCATCAATGTCCAAGTATCCTTTCACAATATGTTAACAGTTCATTTACGGCAAGCTTCAGCAACCCATGCTTGCCGTAAAAGGTGACCATGCTTGTCGTAAAAGGCGACTAACGGGATCAGGTGGTCAGGCTCGCTGACTTGGTTGATGCATGTCATCGATCCAAATTGCGTGGATCGATGCTCATGATATCAATCACTGGATTGTCTGGTCCAGACTCGATTATTTACAGACCGCCGTCATATAGCTTCAATATTGCTGAGTGCGGCGTTAAACAACAAACCAAATCATTACATAATTTGTCATACTGCTCAACATCACGTTACTCTAGTGCACTCGTTCCCCCTAGGGTAGTTGTAGTGCACACTCAACAGAGGTCATGTGACTAGTTGTGTCAGTAAGTTGCTTTTGAAATGCTATTTGTAACCTTGTAATGTGTATCATTATCATACATTAACGCATAACAAATGTTTCAGCAAGGAACAATGTTTCACAAGCATGCGGATGTTTTATCGTTTCGCGCATGCGCAAAGGTGAAAACTCGAGTGGTTCTTTTTCCAGAAATGAACAGCACAACAATCTACATTTGTGTATAACTATTGTTGCGTATCCACAATAGCACAAGTAGTCTAAGCTTATATCAGTCCATATGGGCACTTTGTCATGAAGCTGTTAATGATATATGACAAAAGGCAACAACCTCACATTATATATCCGGGGGGTTCTCATCCGAGCTTAATTGTGCTGCTTGTATGACTGGGATCAGTTTGCAGCCTTTTGAGCACCTCTTTCTTAAAGTCTTCAGCAGCCATCTTATTCCTTTCCTGTGAGTCTGATGTGACCAGGTACACTGATCCAGGAATGGTCATCAACATGTTAGCCAATTGATTCCTCTGAGATTGGGACGCTTTGTCAGCATAGCTCTTCGTCCATAACTCAACTGCGAAATAACACACACACCTTACTGATTATTTTATTTTTCACATTTGACTGCATCAGGTAACTTACCACAGTGATATGTTGCACACTGAATGACACTTACTAAATGACTGCAAACTTAAGAAACATTAAGAGTCTTTAGTCTTTAGTCTTGATAATGATAATATTATGTAAAGTTTCCTATTCTGAACAGTGGTACCAAATGACACTCGCATTTACATCTACCGTTACCATTTCATGCAAAGTATTAGCGAAGGCAAAAGTCATATTCAACAATAACTCTATATCCATATAACATATTATTGTGTTTCTGTCCATTACCGGATTTCAGTATCTATGGTAACCAAGGCATGAATATATATGCTTTGTTTGGTCTATAAAAAAGATGGAACGAAAAGGAACGTAAATTAACACGACAAAGTCAAAGGGGTATTAAGTCTAATGTGGGAAAACCTGCAACTGGAGGCAGTCGGGTAGCCTAGTGGTCAAAGCGTCACGCCGAAGACCCGGGTTCGATTCCCGATATGTGAAGTCCATTTCTGGTGTCCCCCGCCGTGATATGGCTGGAATATTGCTTAAAGCGGCGTAAAGCCACACTCACTCACTCACTCACTCACCTGCAACTGGAGACTTGTCAATATCCACAGGGGCTTGCAGCTGGTTGTTGCACAGCTCTATTACCTTCGTGGCAAATGTTGGGAAGAAGTGCACATCGGGGATCATGACAGTGACAACAAAGACACAGTCACTGGCCTTGGTCAGCCCATTAAAGACTACCCCTGCTGCAGCCAGAGGTGTGTTCGCCTTCGGTCCTGATAAACACAAGAGCATTTTTCCACAAGTGTCCCCCAATACTACAAAATTTTAAGTTTTGAACTTTTTTGCCAGGATTCGAAATACAATGAAAAAACTGATTTTCGGATTGAATTATCTTAAAATAAATATTTTTAATGCTTTCTATGTTAGATGTTGATGAGTACATTTGAAGAATTCATAATTATTTCAGAGAAGAAATAACAGTTAATTAACAGTCTTCACCTAAAACATCTATGGGTATGGTGATAGTGTTGCATTTCGTTTTGGCGGCGGTTTTGATGCCCTCTGCAATGGCTTTAACGGCGGAAGTGTTGCTGTTGCCGTCCCAGTACGAGTGAAGCAACGTCATTGAGGGCAGGTTTGTACTGTCAGCTGTGCATTTGGCCTCAGGAAGCTCACATACTGTTGACACAAAGCAGTTTGTGATCAAATTGTTGGAGAGAACCACACTGAGAGCACTATATCCATTCTGTGATGTTACCAGACGTTTTTGCCAGAGGTTAGTTGGTTAGTTGGTTTGTTGTTTAACGCCGCACTCAGCAATATTCCAGCTATATGACGACGGTCTGTAAATAATCGAGTCTGGACCAGACAATCCAGTGATTAATATCATGAGCATCGATCCACGCAATTGGGATCGATGACATGCATCAACCAAGTCAGCGAGCCTGACCACCTGATCCCGTTAGTCGCCTCTTACGACAAGCATAGTCACCTTTTACGGCAAGCATGGGTTGCTGAAGACCTATTCTACCCCGGCGTCTTCACGGGCCTTTTGCCAGAGGAGTAATATCAAAGCTCGAACAAATAATGTAAACAAAAGTTCATATTTGTAGAACAGGGAGATTGTGATTGGAAATCCATACCATATGAAGTGCACATCCAGTCTGTCTTATCAGGAGCTGTGGACTTGAGCCCTTGGTTCTGTTTTGGATCTGGAAAGAAGACAACAGATTTTCATAGATTTGTTGCCTTCAAGTACTACAACCATGTTTCTTAAAATCCTAATACCCTATTCCTGATACGTTCTAATTTAAATAACATTTTATACAAAAGGATCCGTGAAACGTTTTCCTGTTCAGGATGGAAGTAATACATTTACCTCGTATCTGCTCATCGGTCCAGAGGACGAGGACAGCCTCAGTAACGTCCGATGCCTCATGTACACCAGCGTGTACGACCTGTAGCAGAGTATTACCGACGTGGACACGAGCTTCCCATCTCGGGGTTTGTTTCTTTCTCTTCTCTGAAGGAGCGTATGAAAATAAGAAGGGCTAAAAGTTCCTGTTACCGCTTGTGACGCGTGAAGATCCGGGGTAGAATGATGGAAATTGGAAACAAAGCAACACGAATATCATGTTCAATGTGATAACATTGACAATGCCATTTGTCTGAGGTCACCAAGGGGTATTCTTTTGGAAGCTAATATTCTATCGATAAAAAGCTGTTAACTACCTGACAATTCATATTCTGATTCAATGTATAACACTACAACAACAGCCTCACGCACTGACCCCCCCCCCCCCCCCCCCCCCCCCCCCCCCCCAGGCACTTGCTACAGTTCAGAGCCGTGATGAAGTTCTTCAGCAACCCATGCTTGCCGTAAAGACGACTATGCTTGTCGTAAGAGGCGACTTACATGATCGGGTGGTCAGGTTCGCTGACTTGGTCGATGCATGTCATCGTATCCCAATTGTATGGATCGATGCCCATGATGACAACCACTGGGTTATATGATCCAGACTCGATTATTTACAGACCGCCGTCATATAGCTGGAATATTGCTGAGTGCAGCATTAAACGTGTCAACAAACAAACAAACAAACAATGTTACCGCAGGTCTGCATGTTCATCCTATTATTACCATAATGACTCATAAATGGTAACTAAAATAGTGTACCGGAAAATTAATTTGAAATCATGCCTGTATGGAAAAAAGAATGTACCCCATACTGTATGTTAACAAAAGCGACAAAACCAAAAAAGGTTAGAGAAATATCTGTCAATGGTACGATTCCGACTATATAATGAGCATTTGTTATGAATCATTATCAAATAGTGATGAAACCAGGTGTTTGTGAAAAGAAGAGCGTATCCTGCCCACCTGTTGCACCCGTCACAAACACATGCAAAGGCAAGTCATTTGTTCACCTGATCAGACACGGGAACATTTGGTACAAGTCATAATAGGGAATTGCATCGGACATAATTCTTGTCACTGATGCGTCTAATGAATGTTATGACCTTGATCAAACAGCTTCTGAGCAAGAGTCGTGTGACGCTCTTGGTAGAAATAACATGTTCGATTGTACCTCAGCGCTGGAGGTACAGGATCATTACTCGACATAAAGGGAAAGCTGACAATTGGAAAGTTGAAGTCATCCCTCTTGTCACACAGTCTTGTGGAGAGTGTTTTGTCACTCTGAATCTTTATGCATAGATCTGAATATGAAACAGATAAGGCGGTCTCACTGGTCTCCTTTATTTCTTGTTCAGATGAGTAAATCAGTGGAAGGGAATGGCCTATTTGTTGGTAATTGAACGATATCAGATCATCGATATACCTGAAGCTAAAGCTTAACTTTTTGGCCAAATGTCCTTGTTTTGACATTGCCATTACGAGCAGAAATTCCGATTCATATGCATGGATAAATAGATCAGCACTTCTTGCCGAAATGTCTTACCCTCAAATTTTACATAGATACATTTTTTATATTTGATTTTCTCAGTAAACTTCAGGTTGCATTTGCTTTCATTTTTTTTACCTGAAACTCTGAAGACAGATGTGAAACTATATCTGTGGTCAATACGTTTTGCAACAAAAGCCCCATGGATGCAAGGAATGAAGTTTTACCTTACGTTTGTCATGTGGGATAATTGTGGACAAAGTTGAAAAATCAAATGTTTTGGCAGAATTGAACCTGTTCCTTTTCAATGATTGTAAAAACGTAAAGCAAATCCTTTTTTTTGTGTTTTTGAGAATCCATTTGGCATTAAGTCTCTCAAATACTTTCGGTGCATATAAATATTGATTGTATTGTGGTTTATAGTGAATCTTTGAGACAGAGATTTGCTGGTACATTTGCTTGACCAAGCAATTTATCTCTTTGTTTGTACGGATTTTGTTGTACGGAGCTTTGGAATCCAATGCAAAAGAGGAATGGCCATGTCTTCAGGTTCAGCTGGCTGGGGCAGAATGGGCATATTTCAAATCTGTTTCCTCCTTTTCAGTTTGTGCATTCTACCAATGACAACATCATGAACTGACTTAAACCACTCTCAAAGACATTCACATGTTCCTCTGTCCTCTTAGTCCATTAATTGGCATATGCTTCCATGGAATCCATAATGGTTTTAAAGTTGTGATCCCAGTTGGAAGGTTGGTTGGTTGGTTTGTTGTTTAACGCCGCACTCAGCAATATTCCAGCTATATGACGGCGGTCTGTAAATAATCGAGCCTGGACCAGACAATCCAGTGATTAATCTCATGAGCATCAACCCACGCAATTGGGATTGATGACCTTGCATCAACCAAGTCAGCGAGCCTGACCACCCGATCCCGTTAGTCGTCTTTCACGACGAGCATAGTCACCTTTTACGGCAAGCATGGGTTGCTGAAGACCTATTCTACCCCGGAATCTTCACGGGTGCCAATTGGAAGGAGGCTGCTCACAATATTTTGGTCCATATTTGAATAACCAACGAAGGTTTTTGTTGTCAACAATAGAGAAGTCACCTGTGATAATTTGACCAGTATGCTCTTGGATGTAGTCTAAGATCACGTCAGGTAGGTCTTAGTGATATTTTTAGGCCACGTCACATGATATGTTTGTTTGTTGATTAACGCCGCACTCAGCAGTATTCCAGCTATATGACGGCGGTCAATAAATAATCGAATCTGGACCATATAATCTAGTGATTGATATCAAGAGCATCTATCTACGCAAGTGGGATACGATGATATGCACCAAGCAAGTCAGCGAGCCTGACCATCCGATCCCGTCAGTCACCTCTTATGACAAGCATGGGTTGGGGAGACGTATTCTACCCCGGATCTTCGTGGGTCACATTACATTTAACAATGTCTGCATGATACTATAACCTAGAAGTAATCAATACCTTTGTGGAACTCATCAACTGCTGCAAGTTGTCTTGTCATCAGCTTGTTTGTATGGCCATGTGCGAGGAATAGCTGGGAAGAAAATGGTGTTTCCACGTGAGAATTTTGTGCATTAAGAAATACACTGTCATACGTCATAATTAATTATGCATATTCTAATGAGCACAAGTATACATACCTGCTTCACAGGGAGCTGCGTTTCTGGGAATATCACAAAGATGATCTCTCTGATCGATCCTGATCTTATGTCGTCTTTGAAAAGTCCAATCGCTTTGTACATCAGCTGGACAACATATTCGACTGGGTACTTCAGAGCTCCAGTTCCAATGGCTGGGAAAGCAATGGTCTGATATCCTTTTTCAGATGCCCTGATGAGACAGTTGAACACCAAAGAAATCATCCACTGAGAATAGAATGTGTGGGACAAATATGGAGTACTTCAAGGAATTGCCAGGATTTATAAATCTCAAAATAGAAGAGCAATTTAATGTTTTGCATTGTTTGTCGATACTGTTATGACTTGCGATAGCTTTCCAAGTAACCATTTTCTAAGTTAAGTGTGCTTCAATTTTATAAGTACAGCATGAAGCATTGTCTTAGCATATATCTATTGACTTTGGTTGGTTTGTTGTTTAACGCCGCACTCAGCAATATTCCAGCTATATGACGGCGGTCTGTAAATAATCGAGTCTGGACCAGACAATCCAGTGATTGATATCATGAGCATCGATCCATGCAATTGGGATCGATGACATGCATCAACCAAGTCAACGAGCCAGACCACCCGATCCCGTTAGTCGCATTATACGACAAGCATAGTCGCCTTTTACGCCAAGTATGGGTTGCTGAAGACCTATTCTACCCCTGAATCTTCATAGGTCCTAAAGGAAATCACCTACTTTGAAACAATCATTCTCTTTCTGTTGATAGTTTGGACTGTTTCTCTTTGGGAAATATGGCAATGCGCCATGGTAGATGGTCTTGCATGTCTTAAGATTCCCAGGGCCAGTTTCGGCGACTTCATCATGTTTTAAGCCATTTGGATACTTCTCTCTCAGTTGTTTCTGAATAGTCTGGCCAGCAGCCTTCAGAATGCAGGACGATACACCCTCACCTTGATTCAGATCCAAGTTGATATTTGTTGTATTCACTATCACATCTGCCTAAATGTACACAAATATTTGTTATATAAAAAAGTAGTGATCAGAATTTCAGAGCTCACGTCCAATGATTACCGTTTAAAAACTATGAATAATCATAAGTGTACATTGTTGACGTCAAATAGATTAGGGGGCACGGGTGGCCCAGTCGTCAAAGGCGCCGGGATTCGCTGTACAGAGTCTTGCACGCCAGAGACCAATGATTGTCGGTTCGAATCCCGGTTCGCCCCGATTATGTTTCTAGGTTTGTCAGCACCATACCCGTGCTCGTGGGTTTCACCGAAGGGGTAAACGTCTGAGACCTGCATCACTTCGGGCTTTCATACCACATTACCACACGCCGTGAATAATGTTAAAAGCGACGTTAAACCCAACTCAATCACTCACCCACTCAAATAAGATTAAGGGAACATTGATGGAAGAGTAATCTGAGGCGCCGCAATTCGCAATTCGCGTGCCTGAAACCTATGATCCTGGGTTCGAATCCCAGATTCACCATGATTATCTTTCTACGATTCTACGCCATACCCGTGCTCGCTGGTTTGACCAAAGTGGTTAGGTCTAACACACACATCACTTCTTTTGGGGCTTTTCGCCCACACCAAGCTCACACGCCGTGATTTTCTAGTAAATTAAATACTGTTCAAAGCGGCATGACTAAACCCAAACATTCACTTAAAAATTAGATCCTACCTCTTGCTTCTCAATGGCATTGATGACCGGTATTATCCGAGTATTCTTCCGGCCTGAAACAAACAAGCATTGGAGAAAATAAAAGTACCAATAAATTAAGTAATTATGAGATGTTGGTATTATTGTTGGTGTATAAAAAGATAAACAAATAACATGTGTAAATAAAGACATATATGCGGTTATCCGTACCAACATGTGTTGTGACAATGTTATCGCACTATTAGTGATTTGTGTTTTACGCCACTTACAATATTTCAATGTTATATCAGGGCGTTTAGGCATGAACTATCACCAAGATGTCATTGACAATACAACAACCATTGCTATCAACACATTTATCTTTTGTATTTAGACTTTAGACTTTTTTTACTTTAACTGTCGTAAAAGAGTTTTGTCTTTGTGCCATACAATGTGTGAAACCCATTTCTGGTGTCCTTCATCCTGATGTTGCAAGAATATTGGAATTGAAATTTTGTAGAAATGTATGTATTGTGTTTGTTTTGTTTGTTTGTTGTTTAGCACCGCTGTCAGCAATATTCGAGCTATATGACGGTGGTTTGTAAGTAATCGAGTCTGGACCAGTCACTCCAGTGATTGATATAATGAGTATCGATTCACGCAATTGGGATCGATGACATGCATCCACCAAGTCATCGAGCCTGACCACCTGATCCCGTAAGTCGTCTCTCACGACAAGCATAGTCGCCTCTTATGACAAGCATGGGTTGCTGAAGACCTATTCTACCCTGGATCTGCACGGGACTGTATACGCCGTGGTGAACATGTGACCATATATTCTCTGCATAGGTACTTATTAGTACATTGATCGTAAAAAGTACAATGTAGACTTACGCGCTATTTTCAGTGTGAGATCATCAAGTCCCTTAGACACTACCTGATCCATGAAGCCAATATGTTGCTGGGGTGTTATGTTGCATTTATACTTCTCCCCCACTGTCTGTGACACCTCGCCGACAGTTATGATACTTATCACACAACCCAGGGTAATAGGGTAACTAGAGACGCCTTTGATTTCCTCATTTACAATCCTCGCTGCTTCTTCCGATGCTTGAGTTGGGCCTTTGATCTCAATTGTTCTTTGTGTTATTTCCAACTGCACCCCTTCTAGATGGCTTGTACAAGCTTTTAGGTGATGTTCTTTGTGCTGACGTAAGTAACTGGCGCAGTGTTCAGACAGGTTTATCGTTACACATCTTATTACTAACGAGCGAGATTTAAGTAGTTCTTGAGATCTTTGCAAATGATCACCAACGACCATTACAGCATTTGCCATTCCAATTAACTTCACCAAAGGACCTTCTTTGACGACTAAAATTTCAAGATCATCTCCTGTTGGCAAGGCATTCATTCCATCGTCCATAAAAGGGATCAGATCAGCAGGGAAGTCCATCTCAACAATACTGTCCTTGATTATCTGAAGGGCTACATGGTCACTCTTTGATCCACTTGAACCAATGGTAACTGTAGATTCCTCGAAGTTGAACATGCAATTGAAGCCCTCCTTCGCCAAGTGTTCACGTAAAGTTTGTAAAGCAGCACGCATGTCCTTCAGGAACTGTAGCTGTACAGGCGATAACGGTATGCTGTGTGAATGTGGTGCGTTGTGTCTTGGTGAGGTGTCACTGGTCCCTTTATCAATAAACATAAGCAGTCAATAGTCAACAGCAAGGTATTAGAGCTCAGTTTCCAAATTTCACGAGTGCGTAATATTGAATGGGGATGATAAATGCATGCACAGCAACGGGAGGGATCCAAAATATCAAAATACTATCACAGCCTACAACATACTACATTTGGGTTTCAAAGGGGGGAGTGGGGGTGGGGTGTGTATGGGAGTGGGTGGTGGTGGTGGGGGTGGGGGTGGCGTTGAGGGTGGGGGGCTCCGGACCCCCTGGATCCGCCTATACACAGTATTAGATATTTGGAGCAGAGATATGATATATCTTGGAACCCTGAATAAGGTATAAGTGAAGCGGAGGTTATTCCATGATTAGAGGTATATTTAGATACCTGTTCACACTGAGAGACAACTAACTTCAATCTGGGTATCTTTCGAACACTGCTTTTGATCGAATTAAAAAACACAGAAGTGAATAAACCAGAGATACTGAAGTTCTGTTTTTGTTGCTTTAGCCGACAGTGAAATTCAAATCGCACCATATAAATAACAGTGCCATGCTTGTGTAAATATGCATCATTCAGAAGAACATACTGTCACGTGTCAAGAGTGTCGTGGAGGACACGGGTGGCCCAGTCGTCTACGGCGACGCTGTGCAGAGTTGCGTCCCTTGGGCACGCCAGAAAACTATGATTGTGGGTTCGAATCCCGGTTCGCCCCGATTATGTTTCTAGGTTTGTCAGCACCATACCCGTGCTCGTGGGTTTCACCGAAGTGGTAAACATCTTAGACCTGAATCACTTAGGGATTTCCTCCCACATTAAACTGACACGCCGTGATATAACTGGAATAATGTTAAAAGTGGAGTTAAATCCAACTCACTCACTCATATGTAGCAACAATACTGCATGATATACTTGTAAACAATATGGCCGTAGTTGATATAAATGTAATACTGTTGAAAGCGGCGTTAAACCCCCCAACTCATACAAGAGTGTAATGTAAAATATTGCTTAATATCATCCAAGTGCAATAGACCCATTTCCTATTAATAGATTGACAATATGAATACAGTAAACTACGTTTATAACGAGGACGCTTACAACGAACTGATGGATATAACGAACTATGTCTTGGTCCCGTCCATTTGCTAAATGTATGCTGTACATATGTTTATAACGAACTACGGTTATAACGAATTAAAATAAGTGGTCCCTTTGAGTTCGTTATAACCATAGTTTACTGTATATCAAATGTACTTTTTAGTAACGAGTGAATGTTAGTTTACGCCGCAGTCAGCAATATTTGAGGCATATCACGGCGGCCTGTAAATAGTCGAGTCTGGGTCGGACTCAGCAGAGACTGAAGCCATAGTAACGATCTACGCCATCCCAATGGGACACCATGATGGTCAAGTGCAGTAAAGTTACCAGCATGACGTGTAAACGTCAGGCATGAGATACAGAGGACAAATTCTAGCTTATGATATTTCAACTTGTGATATATGTGTTATAGCACATGACATTTCTTATGAAGCAACAATACTGCATGATATACTTGTAAACAATATGGCCGTAGTTGTCCCTAAGGTATAACAATGCATTATCTATCATAGAAAGAAGTATGCATACCTTCTTCAATGGGTTCGTTCATATCAATAACCACATTTTGGCCTGACAAGATTTGCACTTGATCCTCTGTCGCCGACTGGGATAAAAAGGTCTTTATCTTCTCTATCGGTCTCTCAGACAGCTGAAGATACTCCATTGAAGACATGTCTCCTGTCGCGATATCAATATTCATTATTCCACGTGCATCGGATACCACATATCAACAGTGTGAGTTGGCCGTCAATATAGCGAGTTTGCGGAATACTAATTCTATTACACCCCAGCACGTACTTCCTGCATAACGTCCGAGCGTGATTTACCTCACCACTCCAGCTAAATAGAGGGAAGTCTATTCAAGCAAATCATGTTCCCCTTTATAGCGAGGCTTTCATCCCATTATAACACAGTACTGCTGCTAAGGGATGAAAAGTATCTTTTTATATATAACTTGATTCATCTAATATTGATAAATACAAAAATATATCGTACATATGTACACGTCTTGAACAATACTTCAACAACACGAGCTTACCTGCTCGCTGTCACAATGACAGCTTTGAATTGATTGAATGTCAGCTCTGTTGATAGTGAAATGTAAAATATACAGTTGGTTCTGCCTGGGCTGTTGTTTTGATAGCGAAAGTAGGATAGGATGAGAAATCATTTCTATTTATTCACACACGTCACGTTTTTACTGAGTCATTTAGACCGGCTCCGTGGTCTAGTGGTAGAGCGTCCGCCCGGAGAGCGGAAGGTCCGGGGTTCGATCCCCGACCGCGTCATACGAAAAGACGTTAAAAGATGGTACTTGTTGTAACCCTGTCTTGCGCTCGGCATTAAGGGGCTTAAACAAGGACTGGTCGGCTCGGAGTCAGTATACTGTGTCTGAGTGGGGTATTCATGTTAAACTGCGGCATGGTATCTCAGTGAGCTAGCACTATAAATCGGCATCAGTCCGGACTAGTACAAGCAGCCACACAAACACACACACGTACATGCACGTCGCTATATAAGTGCAATAATCTTGGACGCGACGTTAAACCCCATCTCACCTCACCCGAGTCATTTAGAATTCCCCTACTGGTTACAAACAACCAAATGTTTTTCTATAGTAAAGTTATATATTTTGTTACAAAATTAATAACTAGGCATTCCACATATGTTGCATGTACATGTGTGCACTGTCTCGCCTTAAGGCAGCAATATATACAAAGCAATGACAAGCTTAGCCAGCTCCATTTCCGAGTACAGGAAGCTAAACACACCAACCCCAGTTCCGCACCAAATGGCATCATTTGCTTCAAAATATCTGTAGTCACATTCAGCATAAGTCATCATGCTAAAAAAGACTACATACAGTAAAACATGGTGAGTTGTAATTACTTGATGGGTGTAATTTCAAAAACATAAAAATCTTAGACAAAATCATTCTGATTCTAATTTGGTGTAGTAGAACCTGCAGGATGCATTACGAATGCGGTACTGTATTATTGTAAAACGTGTGCATGGCGTGTATTCAACATTACTCCCCTTTAACAAACATCTGCATGTACTTGCCACTGTTTCAAGCCTAATGAGATTTAGATCACTTATCCATAACTTGGAGGTAGATCATTTATGTAGATACGACCATTGATTCACGAGATGAAGCAGTTGTTTTGTTTTCAAGAATGAACGTTTGAGCTGCAAGTATATATTTCATATGAGAAGACAGTGTCTTTTGGACAATCCACTCCATGTTTATAAACATTTCCGCTAACCTGTTGCATGTTTCGACAAAAGAGAAAGGCAATTTCAAATTCCCAACCTTGCCATGAAGGTCTGGATAATTTTGGACATGGCCAGTAACATGTTCCACCCAGAGAAGACATTCAGATATGCCCTTCATTCTGATCACATCTCCATCATCACCTTTTGGCATCCACACTTCATTCAATCATTCTGATCACATCTCCTTCGTCACCTTTTGGCATCCACACTTCATTCAATCATTCTGATCACATCTCCATCATCACCTTTTGGCATCCACACTTCATTCAATCATTCTGATCACATCTCCTTCGTCACCTTTTGGCATCCACACTTCATTCAATCATTCTGATCACATCTCCATCATCACCTTTTGGCATCCACACTTCATTCAATCATTCTGATCACATCTCCTTCGTCACCTTTTGGCATCCACACTTCATTCAATCATTCTGATCACATCTCCATCATCACCTTTTGGCATCCACACTTCATTCAATCATTCTGATCACATCTCCTTCGTCACCTTTTGGCATCCACACTTCATTCAGTCGTTCTGATCACATCTCCATCATCACCTTTTGGCTTCCACACTTCATTCAATCATTCTGATCACATCTCCTTCATCACCTTTTGGCATCCACACTTCATTCAATCATTCTGATCACATCTCCTTCATCACCTTTTGGCATCCACACTTCATTCAATCATTCTGATCACATCTCCTTCGTCACCTTTTGGCATCCACACTTCATTCAATCATTCTGATCACATCTCCTTCGTCACCTTTTGGCATCCACACTTCATTTAATGATTCTGATCACATCTCCATCATCACCTTTTGGCATCCACACTTCATTCAATCATTCTGATCACATCTCCTTCGTCACCTTTTGGCATCCACACTTCATTCAACCGTTCTGATCACATCTCCATCATCACCTTTTGGCATCCACACTTCATTCAATCATTCTGATCACATCTCCTTCGTCACCTTTTGGCATCCACACTTCATTCAGTCGTTCTGATCACATCTCCATCATCACCTTTTGGCTTCCACACTTCATTCAATCATTCTGATCACATCTCCTTCATCACCTTTTGGCATCCACACGCCATTCAATCATTCTGATCACATCTCCTTCATCACCTTTTGGCATCCACACTCCATTCAATCATTCTTAACACATCTCCATCATCACCTTTTGGCATCCACACTTCATTCAATCATTCTGATCACATCTCCTTCATCACCTTTTGGCATCCACACTCCATTCAATCATTTGACAGACAGACAGACAGACAAATTTATTCGGTACGTCAGGCCACCGGCCCATAAAACAATGGAAACATATATATTTTGTATGCTGAGTAGATTTAATAATGATTCACCATTCAACACTGTGTTTCCGTTCGAATGTTCATGACTTGGAAGAGATATTTACCTAAGCTTTTTATAATTTGTTCGTTTTCAGGTGACATAAGCCTTATAAAATTTTCAATAGAGGGAGGGGTAACGAGATGCTTTGGAAAAGAGTTTCTTCTGGCTCTGGAATACTGGTCACAAATCATAAGAACATGGATTTCATCTTCAACATGGTTATGAGAATATTAGAATGCAACAATGTAAATAAATATTTATACATGTTTTGGATTTCAGAGAGAACCATTTATTTATGATTTGGAAATACTGCACGGTTTTAGGTGTGACGATTATACTTCAACCCCATCGTTAGCGATTCTATCAATATAACTATTATTGCGACACATCACAAGCTTCATTTATCACAGCGCCATCGTATTGGGATCACATAGTATTATTGGCATTGTATTTTCTATATAGGTCAAAACCCGACTGACAAATTTGATTTTACAGAATGAGAACATTACAGTTCTACCATGGGCTTCCAAATTACCAGATCTTAACCCAATAGAACATTTATTGAGTGAATTCGATCGACAGGCACGTCAAGCCAAGCATAACTCAAGATGCTGTTCAGTGAGCCGATAGCGACTCTCTGCACGTTGTCCAGTGCGAGCAATTGAATCACAAACGTTAGAGTTGATCACATTTTATTTACATCCCGTGCGTACAAGTTTAAAGAGTAGTGTCAATACAATGCAACTACAGTTAGGTACCTGATAGAGTTGGTTCATATAGTTGGTCGTATCAACATTGGCATATCTTTGTCAGCACCACACTCGTGCTCGTGAGTTTCACCGAAGTGGTAAACGTCACCTGCTTCACTTCGGGCTTTCCTCTCGCATTAAGAAGCTGACACGCTGTGATATAACTGGAATACTGTTAAAAGCGACGTTAAACCCAACTCACTCACTCACTCGCGTTATATACAATGATTAAAGCAAGTCACATAAGTTACGTGTTTGTTGCGGGAATGTGTAAATGTTAAAGAAAACAAATATTGGGGTTTAAAACTGGGTGGGTAAAGGGTTGGGTGATGGGTTGAGTTTAAGTGTGTGTGTGTGTGTGTGTGTGTGTGTGTGTGTGTGTGTGTGTGTGTGTGTGTGTGTGTTTGGGGTGGGGGGTGGGGGTGGGTGGGTGGGGGGGGGGGGGGGGGGGGGGGGGGGCTTTGTCTGACTTTAATTATAGGCTGCTGACACATACATGACTCTGTGCTGTTGGTCATTGGAATATTTGTCAAACAGCTGTTATCTGATTTGTATTGACTACAATGGCATCATTTAGTTACATTTAATTTATTTAACCCAATAGATATACAATCATAAATAAAATCCCTTTTAAAACTTATACCCCAGCCAAACTGCCTGGGGGGGGGGGGGGGGGGGGGGACCGGTAAATCTACTGGTTTTGCAGAAGAGGGGTGTCATTTTGTTCTTTTCCAAAGCCTATGTTTGATTGAGAAAAATTTGTATACAGTAAACTACGTTTATAACGAACACGTTTATAACGAACTGACAGATATCACGAACTCAGTTTTTGGTCCCGGCCATTTGCTGTATATGTGCTCTATATATGCATAAAACGAACTGCGGTTTTAACGAACTAAAATAAGCGGTCCCTTTGAGTTCGTTATAACCGTGGTTTACTGTATTTCGAATGAAATATTTGCTCTTCCCACTCAGCATATTTCAATCTGTTGATGACATGGCCATCCTGATATGTTAAGATATGTTAAGAATGTGTATGTGCAAAGCTGTGCAATGTAGGAAAAGTATTTTTGTCTCAGTGTAGTCTACAAACTACTTTGGCTGGTGATGCAGGCTGTACCATGGGCCGATAGCCTATGCCAGTTCTGAAAAAAACATCTTGATTGACATATGATCGAGGATACATGCTTTTTTTTACATATGGAGGTTATAACGACGAGATAAAAAAACAATTGTCGGTAAGACATGCTATGGAATACAGTAAACTACGGTTATAACGAACCCAACGGGACCACTTATTTTAGTTCGTTATAACCATAGTTCGTTATAAGCATATATACAGCATAACAATAGCAAATAGTCGGGATAAAAAAGGTGGGTTCGTTATATCCGTCAGTTCGTTATAAGCGTGTTCGTTATAAACTTAGTTTACTGTAATTAATATATTTCGATGCTTGACAATGTTAAAATGTAAGGATGTTACATAGAATAAATCAGAACGCGTGACTAAAATGAATTCATTTTATTATAACGCTGTGTACGTTACAGAAGGAAATGATACATGTTGTTTGAAATACTATCCCAATAAAGAGTATTCAAGGTAACACGTTACGATAAAAGTAGTCAAATGTCCACAGGGTCAGATTGTCATACACATTACAGGAATTCGGAATAATCACGGAAAATGGGTCATCTCTGAAATATTATATGCGATGTCTGCCGTGGTAATTAATATATGTCAGGTTAATACTAAGGTATATGCTTGGGTATGGGTTATGGTTATAAGGGCATGTTTCTGAAAATACCTCTGCTTGGTTGTATTAATTTGGCATTCCTTTTTCTAAACCAAAGATAAAATATAACAAATTGAGATAATGCAGATAACGTCTTTTAGTGAGGCTCATATCACACTGATTGTGCATGCCATATGAAACTGATACAAAAAAATCAACAGTTTGATTAACATAAGTAGTCCTCCGCTTGTCAAGTGATACACAGATGCATTAAGTCCACGCACCATGTCGTGTTAGTACTTTCATTGTCCATGTGTCTGCTGTCAATGGTACTTGAGTGAATGTATAGCGCAGCCACTGTCAGCAGTACACCACACTTGTGTAAATCTCAGGGTATAATGCTTATTATCTCAGAGTGTATATTCATAGCTATACTACTCAAAAGAAGTTAAAGAACACCAAGGCATGACAGGTCAACTGTAGTCATATGAAAGAGTCAAGTTGTATTTAAATTATTTTGAGTAGTATATGTCCTTCCTATCAACTCGACCTTCCTTCACAAGCAAATTGACCCGTGAAGATCAGGAAGAGAATAGGTCTTCAGCAACCCATGTTTGCCGTAAGAGACGACTATGCTTGTCATAAGAGGCGACTAACGGGATCGGGTGGTCAGGCTCGCTGACTTGGTTGATCCATGTCATCCTGTCCCAGTTGCGTGGATCGATGCTTATGTCAATCATTGGATTGCCTGGTCCAGATTCAATTATTTACAGACCGCCGTCATATAATTCGAATATTGCTGAGTGCGACGTTTAACAACAAACAACAACGTTAAACAACAAGCAAACACAATCACAATCACAAACAAATTACAAATTGGATAGATTGCATTAATACGTAACATGAATGGACTTGAGTTAACCTACAGTGATATAGAAAAATGTTAAAAGACATTCACAAATATACCGAAGGTCCTCCAAATCACATACTGTCTGTGGCTTCTTCCGTGCGTTGTTCACCCGAGTCGGATGTAACTGTGACTGGTGTTACGCGGCAGCTCCTTGATCAGCTCCTTCTTAAAGTCATCGGCCGCCATCTTATTTTTGTCCTCTGAGTCTGACGTAACAAAGTACTTCGAGTCGGCAATTGTTACGACCATTGCTGTCAGTCTGCTGGTCTGCGTCTGGGAGGCCATGTCGGCATATGTCTTCTCCCATAGATCAACTGAAGGGACAAAATAGGGCTTTAAACAGAAATATGTTGTAGCAATTTTCATGTCAATTCAACTCACTTAATTATTGACAGGTGACCTTTCTACAATATGAAGTTTTCCTTATTAATGAAAGTTAATGATCTTGAAACCAGTGAAGCGTTACATGATTCAGAGCTTAAGTTGGCTACCAAACAATACAAGTGTTAATAATTTAAATCTTTACCAACTGATTCAACATGTTTAAATATTGATTATTTATCAAGAATATTTGGACTGTTTAGTTTATAGTCAGGAAACATTGCTATCGCCTCTGCTCACTTATGTCCTGACTGCGAAATAATTCAACAAAAAATTATCCAGGTCAATGGGCTGGTTGTAGAATTTGAATTTAACGCGACACGCTAATCATATGAACTGAAGTTTGTGATTGGCATTTCTGAACAGGAAGACATTATACATGTCACAGATATTAGCTTTCTATAGACGTTTCGGACTTTTTGACTCTCTGCCATTCATCGTACACTTGACGACGGGACAAGAAGTAGTTCGGGAACATCATTACAACAAAATATTTCATATCTTAATTGAAAGGGCCTCAGATCCATGTCATGAGAGTGACCTCTTACATCCTCAAAGCTTGGCTATTTATCAGGGCTTCTCTCCGTGAGGGATTACTCTCAATATTTCTATGGAAATAATATTTGTGTCCAATAAGTCCAATAAGGCAACATCAACAATTTAAAACGTTCTAATAGAAGCCTTTCCATACCAATCATAATATGTTTAGTCATATATTTTGAGGAAGCTTTCAAAACAAAAGTCATCCAAAATGTGACATATACCTGCTACGGGAGACTTGTCAATGTCCGCCGGAACCTGCATCTGTTTCAGAGTCAGTTCTGCGATTCTGTTGCTGAATGGTTGGAACACGTGTTCATCGGGTATAATGACGGTGACCACACAGACAGTGTCGCTCGCCTTCTTCACACCTTTAAAGACCATTTGGGCAGCGGTGTTCGGTCTTTTAGCAATTTCACCTGAAAAGAATCAACACACACATTCTTCACATTTGAACTGTAAGGAAATCATTTTGTTGATGTGTACTATTGTAATCCTAGCCATGTCTTACATTCGAATATAGCTTTGGAGTTATCAGTTTGCACAAATAGAGCAATGTGATTGGGAGCCACATCAATAAAATATCCAACCTTCGTCATTTAAATCAGATCTCCTGACAAGTTGATTCGAGTGCAATTGGTCGCAGTATTTTAGTAATATGTAATATGTTTTCTATTATTCAGCTCGCGCAAACTAGTAAACATAGTTAAAAAATGTTCACGAACCGATTCCAAAGTTTAAATACAGATTTTTTCTCTAGAATATTCGGTTTACAGTCAGGGAACCTTGCTATCGCCTGTGCTCACGTGTGTCCTGACAATGGTTTCTATTACTGAGCAAGCGCAAACTTGGCAATATTGTTAAAAAATATCGTTAGGATATATCAAAATGTCAAATGGGTTCCAACGTGTGGATACGATGCTTAATGTCTGCATATCGGCAGCAGTGCTTATCAAACCTCACCAGAAGGTGCTATTGGTACCGTGATGGTGTTGCATTTTATTTTGGCAGCGTTTCTGATCCCTTCTGCTATGGCGTCGACGACGGTGCTTTCTTGGTTGTTTGGGCAGTAGGAATGTAACAGAGTTGCAAATGGCAGGCTGGTGCTGTCGTGGGCACATATTCTCTCATTAAGTTCAGAGACTGAAAAGACACATAAACTATTGTCACAAAAAGTCTTTTTATATAAACTGCAGGGCAAAAGAAAGTATACACTAAAATTTGCTGGTACCTAAAAATGAAACAACGTGATTAGGTTGAAACTAAAAACGCTATGGAGAAAAAAGAAAAAAAGAAACATTCAATATTGTGTTGGTGTTTTTAATACTGAAACCCCGCCATACTAAGTGAAATTGTCAGTGAAATCGTCCGGGTTGGGACATGATTAGAGTGCAGGGCCCACTTGCACAAAGCGATCTTTGCGCTAAGATTATCGTAACTCCCATTTTTTAACATAGGCTTACGATAGTCTTAGCGCTAAGATCGCTTTGTGCAAGTGGGCCCAGGAGTAATCCATATGCCAACAGTAACGTGTGTAATGTGTGATGCAGGAACTAACGGGTGTTAACAGTTTATGACATAGAGATCCTGATGCAGACAATGGTGGTGCGTAGGTAACCTTTACGAACCGTAGGATGAACACTGCCAGTCAGTCTTGTCAGCATCTGTGCAGGTAAGTCCTGGATTGGCAGCTACATCTTGAAAGAGAATGGCAAAATAAAGATTTAGGGATATTCTCTCTCTCTCTCTCTCTCTCTCTCTCTCTCTCTCTCTCTCTCATTTATATAAATACGTATATACATACGAGTGGGTAGTCACGGGCATACAGCATACCATAGAGTTTCCCCTCTCTCTCTCTCTCTCTCTCTCTTTCTCTGTTATGCAATTAAGATACAAATGTTAAGAATATTTTACAATAATATCACAGTCTTTTTTCTGAAACGGACTAAATTGAACACTATGATAATATATCTAACAATCTTCAGGGCGAGTGAAAATACATTCGTTGTTATGGAACGTAACTTGGTTAATATGTTTATAATCACATTCTTACTTTCTATTTGCGTATCATTCCACAGAACGAGGACAGCTTCTGTCACTTCTCTTGCTTCGCCTACACTGCCTTGTACAACTTGAAGCAAGGTGTTTCCAATTTGTACACGGATCTCGCATTTGCGGTTTTGTTCCGATCTCTTCACTATAAATGAATCATAAAAAATAAGGTTGGTTGTATGTTGTGTAACGCCGAACTCAGCAATATTCCAGCTATGGGACGGCGGTCTGTAAATAATTGAGTCTCGACCAGACAATCCAGTGATTGACATCATGAGCATCGATCCACGCAATTGGGATACGATGACATGCATCAACCAAGTCAACGAGCCTGACCACCTGATCCCGTTAGTCGCCTTTTCCGACAAGCATAGTCGCCTTTTACGGCAAGCATGGGTTTCTGAAGACCTATTCAGCAACAAGGATTAGGTAAATCAGAAATGTGCTAACTGCAGACCCTTTTGCCCTGTCTTAGAAACAGAACTATATCTATTAAGCTATTTCTGTTCATTTTGAGCGTGTGTATACAATTTGTGTCATGACATCTTGGCTTCATGATATATTGACCAGAAAACATTGAAATAATTTCAGTGAGCACACGGTTTCAATTGTCTTTATTTATCTGGGTGTTTTTGTTTCTGAATCACAATTATGTGGTTGTTTAACAACATATTTATTTCGTTTTCATAACATTGTACCTTTGGGAAAATAAACCACAAACCCTCGTGAAACTGTTCCACAGCTGCAAGGTGTTTTGTCTTCAGTTTGTAGGTATGACGGTGCGCCAGGAACAACTGTCACATAACATTGATTCCAACATAAACACAACCAACCTCCTCTTGAAAATGTTCAAAGCTTATATAATAGTTCGGACCATTTTCAGACAACGGTACATGTATCTCAGAAGAAAACACATAGAGAAACAATAATTTAGGTCATCAAAAAGATATGTAAGATATTTGAGCACCACTTGTATAATTACAAAGTCTATTAATCACAACAATCAGATATATTTTACCAAATGGTGTGAAATAGGTGAGCTGGAATGGGGTTTAACGTCGCGTCCAAGATTATGGCACTTGTATAGCGACGTGCCCCTGTGTGGCTGCTTGTACTAGTCCGGACTGATGCCGATATATAGTGCTAGCCCACTGAGATACCATGCCGCAGTTTAACATGAATACCCCACTCAGACATAGTACACTGACTCCGAGCCGACCAGTCCTTGTTTTAGCCCCATAATACGGAGCGCCAGACAACAAGTACCACCTTTTAACGTCTTTTGGTATGACGCGACCGGGGATCGAACCCGGACCTTCACTCTCCAGGCGGACGCTCTACCACAAGACCACGGAGGCGGTGGTGTCAAATAGATTGCGTTCATCACCACAATTGTTTCAGATACATCGCCTACTTCTAGTGTGACACTTATTACCTGTGATACATTTTGTGTGGTAAACTTTGCGTACCTGTTTGACTGAGAGCTGCGTTTCCGGGAGGATCACTATGAAGATCTCTCTGATGGCTCCAGATCTCTTGTCGTCATTGAATAGCCGTATTGCCTTGTACATCAGCTGGACAACATGCTGGACAGGATACTTCAGGAACCCGGTGCCAAGAGCTGGGAAGGCAATGGTCTTGCAGCCCTTCGCCGATGCTTTGATCAGGCAGTTGAAAACCAGGGATACCATCCACTGCATTGACAGAAATGAAAAATTGACACTCGAATCGAATTCGGGTTTGGGGAGAACATACAAATGTATATATATCAAATACAGAATAAGCGGGGTTAAGTACAAAATAAACCCAACAGTTGCATTGGCGTATGGCCTCGGATCATATTCCACGCACAACTGCCTTTTATATTAGGTCTGCTTCTCTGACGTAAAATCAACAACTAACCGTTTCCGGGGCGGTCGGGTAGCCTAGTGGTTAAAGCGTTCGCTCGTCACGCCGAAGACCCGGGTTCGATTCCCGACATGGGTACAATGTGTGAAGCCCATTTCTGGTGCCCCCCGCCGTGATATTGCTGGAATATTGCTAAAAGCGGCGTAAAACCATACTCACTCACTCACTAACTCACTCACTAACCGTTTCCAAAACCATAAGACATTTCTGCTAAAAGCAGTGTCCATGGTACAATTCAGATTATTTCAAAAGCATGTTACTCTCAAATAGTGAAGATACAAGGCATTTGTGAAATAGTGAACGTATCCTGTCCCACTGGTGACACTCGTCACAAACACATCAAGTCAAGTCAAGATTTTACTTGAACAAAGACGGGACATGTGGCGCAAGTCCAATTATAGAATCGAATCAGTTATCATTTTTGGTCAAATTTAGAACTATCCTCCATATATTTATCCCTCTGAGGCCAAAAACCCCGATCAAACAACTCTTTCAAATCATTGTAGAAACAGCAAGAGTAGGAACATCCAATTTCCGGCATTTACCATGAATATACCTACCTTAAAACAATCGTCCTCCTCTTGTTGGTAGTTCGGACTTTCTGGCACCGGAAAACCTGGCAGAGATCCGTGATAGATGGCCTTACACGTCTTGATGTTCCCAGGGCCAGATTCAGCTACTTCACCGTGGCCGATCCCCTTGGGATTTTCTCTCGTCAGCTGTTCCTGGATGCGTTCCCCAGCAGCCTGAAGGATGCACCAGGACACGCCGTGTCCCACACCCAACTTCAACGCCTCGTTGGTTGTATTGACAATAACATCAGCCTAGAAATAATAAACACTTAGTTATTATTTAGTAGACGAGTAGATAAATACGATCAGGTATCAATACTCAATGTTGTCGGCAAACGTATATTTCTGGATGATATTGATAAACAGAATAATTATAATCTTGTGCGGATGTTATTTCCACAGGATGATTCCAACATGGTCCCTTATCGATCACGTAAGATTACTTCACATCATTGTGTGAATATTATCCTTAATTAAACATCCATATTTACCTTTTGTCGTTCAAGTGCATTCATGACAACTTTGACCTTTGTTTTCCTCGGGGCTGCAAAACATTTTTTGAAAATATTCCGTAAAATGTATTTCTATAATTGAAATTGCACTGCCTATGTTTTAATGGAACATTATCATATATACAGTTTGTGGGATAATAATAAAACGTGTATGATACATTTTAGACAATAGATTAATTCAAATATGAAACAGAAACCGATACAGACGAGTTTTTCATCCGGGGCAGAAAAGGCGTAAAACGCGACTATGCTTATCGTAAGAATCGGGTGGTCCGGCTCGATGACTTGGTTGATGCATGTCATCGTTTCCCAATTGCGTGGATCGATGCTCATGATGTCAATCACTGGCATGTCTGGTCCAGACTAGATTATTTACTGACCGCCGTCATATGGATGGAATATTTGCCGTCGTTAAACAACAAACAAACAAACAAACAAACAAAGACTAGTTTACATTATTCTCGAGTACACATACCTGATGACATACTCATCCGAAGGGAGTCTAGTGTTAGGGACTGAGTTTGTTCCATGAAGCCAATTTGTTGTTGAGGAGCTATGATGCATTGGTGCTTCACGCCAACTCGCTGGGATACATTTGCCACAGCTAGGATGCTTATTCCAGGACCTAGAGTTATGGGGAAGCTGTTGACACGTTCCACTTCATCGTTGACGACTTGTACTGCTCCCCTGACTTGCATTCGTGGCCCTTTAACCTCCATTGAATTGCCTGCTCTTGTCAACACAACACTAGGAAACCCTTTCATCAATACTTTCATCTCTGTCCATTTGTATTGGGTGAGATAGTTGGCACAATCCTCGGACATTAGAATCGTTTCGCTTCCATTGTCTCGAGCAGGTGCTGGTTGAATGGATTGTAGCATATCCCGCGACCGTTGCAAACTGTGTCCCAACTTTATCGCCGCATCAGCCAAGGCAACAACCTTCACCACAGATCCCATTCTGACAATAAGAACTTCCAGATTCCCTGGTCCTTCTGCTGGTAGGGCTTCCACCCCACCCTCCTTCAACAAGGGAATCTCTTCAGTGGAGAAGTCCATCTCCACTATGCTTTCCTTGATCATTTGTAGGGCCTGGTCATCGCTCTTGGACCCGCTTGTCGAGATGGTAACAGTAGATTCATTGAAGTCAAACTTGCATCTGAAGCCTTCATTATTCAACTTTTGGGACACAATTTGTGTCGCTGCTGGCTTGCTCTTCAAGTACTGCAGCTGGACAGGGGACAGTGGTATACGATGTGTATGTGGATCGCTGAGGCTGGAGGGGTCACCCGTTTCTGTTGAGATAAAACCCGTTTCATTTGCAATCGGCTGAATCCATTTATCACAAAAGGACATAGAAATGTAGGCGTGATATGTCATCTGTGGGCGTGAATAATAGTTAAATTAGATGAATTATAAAAAGAATTAATAACTCTTATGAATCTCACAGTACACGGCCTTATCTAAAATGCACCTTACCTCCTTCCTCTGTGATTATCACGAAGCTTTCACTGTCATCTTCGAGAAAGGCTTGCATCTGTAAGACAGGACTTCTGCCCAAGCTCAGAAAGCGCCCTGAAGACATTGTAGCCTCTGCAATAGAAACATGTATGTTATTCACGAATGAAACAAGTGGTAGTGGTACATACGTTTGTTTGTTTAGTGTTCAATAACCAAGCTATGACGGCGGTCTGCTAATAATCGAGAATGGACCAGATATTCTAGTGATTGACATCATGAGCATCGATCTACGCAATTAAGATACGATCCCGTTACAACCCGACCCCGTTAGCCCCCCTCTTACTACAAGCGTAGACTCGATTATTTACAGACCGCCGTCATATAGCTGGAATATTGTTGAGTGCGGCATTAAACAACCAACCAACCAACCATTACATCACCTCTTACGACCAGCATAAGTTGCTTGGGACCTCATAAAACCCGGAATCCCGACTGGTGTTTGTTCACTAAGAATGAAGTACGTCTAGTATGTAAGTGAGTGAGTGAGTGAGTGAGTTAAAAATGTACATCGCATCCCTATCGCAGCCATATCGCGATGAGAACAAGGTAGTTACTATTATTAAAGACTTGTCGACGAAAGACAGTAAAACAGTAACGTAAATATCACAGTTTAGATATAAAACAAACCTAAGCAATATTTAAAAAAAAGATTGTTTTCAGTCAATTAGTTCACATAAATGAAAAGCAGGCAATAGACCACTGGCAACCAAAGCTAGGCCACCTAACTGGGAATCATGGTAACTTGCATCCTGCATGATTCCCGGCAGGATTTAACCATCAATACATTAACACACTAGTTGATATTATACACTTCAATATAGATGGACTCTGCCACTGTCAGGGGGACAATAATTTTACACTCCTTTAACCCCCTGAGTGGCACAGCCTTCAATATTAACTCAGTTATGAATAACATTACACTTATTTAAAACAATTCTAAATTCTAAATTTATCTAATAACTCTATGTGTTTTAAAAAATCGAGATTTAATCGAGCATTGACATTGATAAAAAGTAGGGCGTCACGATAAATCGAAATATCGATATATTGCTATTGGTAAGCACTTAAAGTCAATATATCGATTGTTAAATCAGATTCCGCTCATTAGATCGATTTCAGTTATATCGCAATAGTTGCTTGCAATATCAACAGTTATCCCAATAGTTTCTTTAATATTAATAGTGATTTCCAGACGAATAGTCACTCCTAATAAAAAGATCCTTTAAAGACTGAGTGAGTGAGTCTGGTTTAACGCCGCTTTTAACAGTATTCCAGTCATATCACGCCGTTCATTTAAAGACGTTGGATGATAGTAAATAGCCCTTGTGAGAGACAAGTCTATACAGTCAAGAAAAATATGCTTGATTGTCATTCTACGTCTAGTTTGTGGTTCATGTACAGGCTCTTACACGAAGTGAGTGAGTGAGTACTGTTTTACCCCGCTTTTTGCATTATTCCAGCAATATCACGGCGGGGGACACCAGAAATGGGCTTCACACATTGTACCCATGTCGGGAATCGAACCCGGGTGTTCGGCGTGACGAGGGATCGCTTTAACCACTAGGCTACCCGACCGCCCCTCTTTCACGAAGACTAGTATTGACAGTCGTATGTTTGGTTAATAGTAACTCCGTTGGGAGTCAAATTTGAAAGGAAATGGGAGAATCTTGATTGAACATACAGGTCATGGTACAAACAAACAAACAAACAAACTATCCAAAGCACGTATATTTAGGACATAAACGTACTGTATTTTGAAATTAGAGGTAGTTTAACGGATTAAAACTAGCTCTATATATATTTTAAAACATAACGTAGTATAACGTTCGTTCGTTTGTTCGTTCTTTAACGCTGCACTCGGCAATATTCCAGCTGTATGACGGCGGTCTGAAAATAATCACTGGACCAGACAATCCAGTGATTGATATAATGAGCATCGATCCTCGCAATTTGGATACGATGACATTCATCAACCAAGTCAGCGAGCCTGAACACCCGATCCCGTTTGTCGCCTCTTATACGACAGGCATAATCGCCTTTTACGGCAAGCATGGGTTGCTGAAGACCTATTCTAACCCGGATCTTCAAGGGTCTAGTATAACGTATCCCAACCCAGCACACTGAACGACAGTAAGTTATTCAAACACTAACAGCGTTATAACGAGTGTTTAAAGGATCACCAAACCCTCTCTATTACATAACAACTCTCCTCGGCATATTTTGGAATCCATCGCTTTAAATATATGGTAGTATTAATAAACATTGTTGAAAAATTGCAAAAGTAGGCCGAAAGTGCTTACGTTGAGAGACTGCCGATCGATATTTAGCCTTCTTAAATATGTCATTACTATAGCTGTTTTGTAAGCAGTACATGTCAGGTGAAATAAAAAAGATACACGCTCAGGAGACACGTTATTGCTTCAAGACAGAAATAAGGTAGGCATGTATATCCTATCTACTCACAGTATTGACAGGAGGCAGTAATAACACTTGAATACAGGTATTTTCCACTACAGCAATGGCGGAGAGTCGATAGCCTTTGCCCACAGCGTCATTACCGACAACACTGTGTACTGCGCTGAATATAGCTGGCGTCTGAAACGAAAGTACAATTCTTTGTAAAGACAACTGGGAAAACCAAATCTATTTTCAGGCGTAAACAATCTATTTGAAGACTGCTGGTCATGTTCGGGAAGGCTTTATAAATACTTGCTTGATTTGTTGTTTAACGCCGCAATCAGAAATATTCCAGCTATATGACGTCGGTCTGTAAACAATCGAGTCTGGACCAGACAATCCAGTGATTGATATCATGAGCATCGATCCACGCAATTTGAATCGATGACATGCATCAACCAAGTCAGCGAGCCTGACCACCCGATCCCGTTAGTCGCCTCTTACGACAAGCATAGTCGCCTTTTACGGCAAGCATGGGTTGCTGAAGACCTATTCTACCCCGGATCTTTACGTGTCGCTTTATGAATAAAGGCGGTGATGTAACCTTGTGGTTAAGGGTTCGCTCTTCACACCGAAGACCCGGGTTCGATTGCCCACATGGATACCATGTGTGAAGCCTTTTTCTGGTGTCCCTCGCTCGCTAAATACATTGTTTATTCCTAATACAGGATATTCCCCAAACACACTCGCCTGATCTAACCTCTATATATATACACAAAAATAAGGCAAATGTTTACTCGGTGTACATATAATATATAAGTCCAACATCTGTTATATTCTGTTTTCAGTGTGCTAGCCGAGCCTCAATTTAAAAAATAAATACCTATGTTTTGTTAGTTTTAGCTGATATAAAGAAGATGTTGTTCACTCGGTGTACATGTAATATATAAGTCCAACATCTGTTATATTCAGTTTTCAGTGTGCTAGCTAAGGCTAAATTTAAAACTAAATTACCTGTGTTTTGTTATTTTTAGCTGATATAAAGAAGATGTTGTTCACTCGGTGTACATGTAATATATAAGTCCAACATCTGTTATATTCAGTTTTCAGTGTGCAAGCTAAGCCTCAATTTAAAAAATAAATACCTGTGTTTTGTTAGTTTTAATTGATATTAAGAAGATGTTGGACTATCGTGGACTTTATTATTTTATATGATATGAGATTCACAAGTGTACATTTGCACGTATATAGAGCTATCCGTGTAACAGTAACACAAAACGAATTGTTCACCAACTTGTTTCAGTTTACAGTGTGCTAGCTAAGCCTCGATTTAAAACATACAATACCTGCCTTTTTGTCAGTTTTATTAGTTTTCCATGTGACGTAATATATTCACTAAATATGAAAGCTTTTGGTCCTTGATCATAAGGTTTATTCATTTCATTATTAGGACCATCTTTGGTACATTTACCCAACTGTATGAGTTAGTGAGTGAGTTGGGTTTAACGCCGATTTTAACAATATTACAGTTATATCGCGGCATGTCCGCTTAATGTGGGAGGAAAGCCCGAAGTGATGTAGGTCTCCGACGTTTACCACTTCGGTAAAACCCAAGAGCAAGGGTATGGGATTCGAACATTCGAACCCACAATCGTACCCACGAGTAGTATATCACATTTTCCCCCGTCGCGAGATGAGAGAAACATGATATTTCACGACACACATTGACTATCTTATTTATTATATATTTTTTGTGCAGTTGTCTACCGGAAAATAAAACTAGTTCATTACAAATGTAAAACCACGAGCACGGGTATGGTGCTGACAAACCTAGGAACATAATCGGGGCGAACCGGGATTCGACCCACAATCATAGGTTTCTGGCATGCCCAATAAGGTTTAATCCAAAAAGAACTAACCCACAACAGTTACAATAGTATCATGCTACAGCAGACGATAGGTTCGAGCCAATTAATTTATTGATTGAGGTCACGTAACTCAAAATATTGACTACTTCCGGTGTTGTGACGGGTTTAAACAAAACCAATACATATTTGATATTTCAGTTCTGATCTATTTAAGCGTAAATGACTGTTCAGTGTGATATCACTGACAAACTGTGTCCAGGCAGCTTGAGAGAGAAGGACCCAACACTACATCCTGTAAACAATCAGTTCAGACCCCTGACACACAAATAAGACCCTCAATGACATATCTGTCAAGACGAATATAAACTGACAAGTATATCGCGGCGTGTCAGCTTAATGTGGGAGGAAAGCCCGAAGTGATGCGGGTCTCAGACGTTTAGCACATCGGTGAAACCCACGAGCACGGGTATGGTGCTGGCAAACCCAGAAACATAATCGGGGCGAACCGGGATTCGTTATAGTAGGTAATGTATGTTAGGCATTATACATGCATGCAGTGTGTGGTGGATTTGAGGTTCAGGTTCGTCAAGACTGAAAATATCTACACATTCATGTATTTCAACACTGACAAGGTTTATATCGCAATTATTCCACATTGATTTCCGATTCTACCAATTCAGTCCTTGCACAGTGACATTGGTCATGACCAGGAGTGTCGAAAGTCCTTAAAAAAACATCTATTCTTGGTATTTTTTTTTTTATCAACACTAGGACTATCCCCATGCCAAAAGAGTACTTTTAGCAAACATTTCTTTTACAGACAGCTCTCTTTTGATTATGAAATATTAACCTATTAATTTATCTAACTTTTTCGACAGCGATTGTTTCTTTAATTTTGGGTACTTTCTAATCTAAAGCATAATATTTGTCGATTTTACAATAGAGTCAGTTCCTGGTTTTGGCAATGATGAAAAAGGATGGTATATTTTAGGTAACAATAGGCATATAAATACTGTATTTCTTCCAAAAGGCTGTGAGCGTTTAAACCTGCCATACATTCATACGGCATAGCGACATTTTTTGGTAATTTTTCTACTGTCACCTGCGAATTGTGACAAAATAAATTCAATAATATCTAGATTTAATACTCTTATATTTTTATTTGTTCTCATAATCAAACCTAATTTCAACGCAAAATATCAAAATATACGGTGCTAAGGGATCTCCTTGACGACAGCCGAGAGTTACCCCAAAAAGGAGAGTCAGAGCCGTTTACTGATACACTTGACTCCATTGTATAATACTTGGATCGAAATTAAAAATACGAAGCGCATGTACCATCGAATCATATATCCATCCTTTTTTTTTCACCTCGTCACCAGTTGTTGCCGCCAAGTGTAACGCTGTTCTAGCAATGGATCTTTCAGATCCAACTCTACTATTAATTCCGTGACTATTTTTCTTGCTTTGTCGTTATTGATATGTTTGTAGTTATACGTATCCATTTAAGGATCTAGCACAAGGTTCCAGTCACCAAATAAACAGTGTTGGTAATCTTCAATAAAAGATATCCGCAATTTCAGTAATTTACACATAGTCACTAAACGTCTCACAACACGTGCCTGGCCACATTCACAATAAATTTGCAAGATTTATAGTCATCTGAGCCTTACAGGCACCGGTTGTCTTTCAACGTCAGTGACTTTGCTTCAGCCTACGCAAAAAGACTGACATCATTGGTCTCCAAAGGGAGACATTATCGGTCTCTCAAAGGAAGACATTATCGGTCTCTTAAAGGAAGACATAATCGGTCTCCCGAAGGAAGGCATTATCAGTCTCCAAATGAAAGACAGTATCGGTCTCCCAAAGGAAGACATTATCGGTCTCTCAAAGGAAGACAGTATTGGTCTCCTAAAAGAGGCCATTATCGGTCTCTCAAAGGAAGGTATTATCGATCTCCCAAAGGAAGGCATTATCGGTCTCTCAAAGGAAGACATTATCAGTCTCTTAAAGGAAGACATTATCGGTCTCTCAAAGGGAGACATTGTCGGTCTCCCAAAGGAAGACATTATCGGTGTCCCAAAGGAAGGCATTATCGGTCTCTCAAAGGATGACATTGTCGGTCTCCAAAAGGAAGGCATTATCGGTCTCCCAAAGGCAGACATTATCGGTCTCTCAAAGGGAGACATTATCGGTCTCTCAAAGGAAGACATTGTCGGTCTCCCAAAAGAAGACATTATCGGTCTCCCAAGGGAAGACATTCTTGGTCTCCCAAAGGAAGGCATTATCGGTCTCTCAAAGGGAGACATTGTCGGTCTCCCAAAGGAAGACATTATCGGTCTCTTAAAGGAAGACATTATCGGTCTTCCAAAGGAAGGTATTATCGGTCTCTCAAAGGATGACATTGTCGGTCTCCCAAAGGAAGACATTTTCGGTGTCCCAAAGGAAGACATTGTCGGTCTCCCAAAGGAAGACATTATCGGTCTCTCAAAGGATGACATTGTCGGTCTCCCAAAGGAAGGCATTATCGGTCTCTCAAAGGAAGACATTGTCGGTCTCCCAAAGGAAGGCATTATCGGTCTCTCAAAGGAAGACATTATCGGTCTCTTAAAGGAAGGCATTATCGGTCTCTCAAAGGAAGACATTATCGGTCTCTTAAAGGAAGACATTATCGGTCTCTCAAAGGAAGACATTGTCGGTCTCCCAAAGGAAGACATTATCGGTGTCCCAAAGGAAGACATTATTGGTCTCCCAAAGGAAGACATTATCTGTGTCCCAAAGGAAGACATTATCGGTCTCTCAAAGGAAGACACTATCGGTGTCCCAAAGGAAGACATTATCGGTGTCCCAAAGGAAGACATTATCGAAGTCCCAAAGGAAGACATTATCGGTGTCCCAAAGGAAGGCATAGATCATCCCGTCCCGTTCAACTGATTGGCTGATAATGTCAGTCTCTTTGCGTAGGCTGAAGCGACGTCAGTGATCAGACATTGAAAGACAACCAGTGCTTTTACAGGCTCAAATGACTATAAATCTTGCAAATTTATTGTGAATGTGGCCAATTGAAAAGAAACCGGTGCTTTTGTTTATCCAAAAGGGTACAACCATGTATTGATAAAGTCCATCTGTTGCAGTCAAAGCAGAAATGTTATGTGCATGCTCACTTACTGGGATCTGATGAGACCCTTCAAAAGGTCAAACTTACTGACAAAAGTAGCTTGATCAGTTCTGCCAATACAGTCATCAATTCTTGGTATGTGGTCAGATTTGGATAGCGATTCACCCGTTTCAGGTCTGTAAAATATTTGTAGGTGTCAGGCTTGGGTACCAGGATGCACAGTGAATTCCACTTACTGTCACTTACCCAACATACTCCAACTTGAGAGAGTCGTGTGTCTCACAGGCAATGCATCACCTATATATGTCATAATTAACCAAGTCGGTACGAACAGGTGCACAGGTACACGCAACCGTGTTTTCGGTGATCTGCACAATATAGTCAGTTTCATTGACTTTTTGTCAATCACTAAAATACCACTATATCGAGGACTTCAATGGTTTACCAGGGATGTGTAAAACTCCTTTTGCCAGGCCAATTCTATCATTTTTGTAATAGTTTGCTTTTCTTTTGTACTGCGATAACATCCCCTCTCTACCTGCAACTTCAGTGGCCAAGTATGCACATATTCTAATACATTTAAATCTTATTGATCATTAAGCCTTTATTCTTTGCTTAAATGCTTAAGTGAGTGAATGAGTGAGTTGGGTGTTACACCGCTTTGAACAGTATTGTCAGCTTAATGTGGGAGGGAAGCCTGAAGTGATGTAGAACTCAGACGTTTTCCACTTTGGTGGAAGCCACGAGCACGGGGATGATGCTGACTAGCCTAGAAACATAATCAGGGGATTCGAACTCACAATCATAGGTTATTGGCCAAGAGACACAACTCTGCACAGCGCATTGCGGCCTAGACAATTTACGCTTAATATAGCTGGCGTCTGAAACGAAGGTATAATCCCTTGGACGTGGTGAATAAAATACTGTTAAAAGTTTGTTAAGAGTTCAATTCATCTATGCTGGGTGAATGAGTGAAAGGTTTAATATGATTTATAGAGGTGTTTAGCTCTTGGAAACGTCCCATTAAGAGTGTTAAGTCAAATGAAGCTTGATGTGGACAGTTATGTTTGGATGTCGATAAATTACTGATTGTTTGCACGAGTATAGGCTTGTGGTGTGCATGTACCATAAGCAAGGGTGTTTAGTTGGTTGCCTTGTGGTTTCTAGGCGTAAAATCTTACCCACTCATCGTAAAAGAGGCATAAGTCATGCATTGACTTATTGCAACCACTGAATATTGTTATTATGGAGGAGGCATAGCGATAAGGCGCCGCGATTCGCTGTGCAGAGTTGCGTCCCTTGGGCACGCCAGAAACCTATGATGGTGGGTTCGAATCCCGTTTCGCCGCGATTATGTTTCTGGGTTTGTCAGCACCATGCCCGTGATCGTGGGTTTCACCGAAGTGGTAAACGTTTCCTCCCACATTAAGCTGACACGCCGCGATATAACTGGAATACTGTTAAAATCGGCGTTAAACCCAACTCACTCACACTGTTATATTGGACATGACTTAATTATTTGTTGTACATACTGAATGTTTAACGGGTGCATGCATTGTGATCATGACTACATGTCACATTGCTTCTTTCTCAAGAAGAACGTGATTACTGGTTACGACTCGAAGCCTTTCACTTACGACATCCCTACTCTGTAACATGGCATCATTATATAGAAGACAAATGTCCCTGTATGCGAAAGTCGTTCACGTCAACACCATGCTTTGTCCAAGAACTCTTTTGTCGGCACATACTTTGTCTTCACTTATACAATACTGCCGAGCATGTTATGGGTAACTGTATATACAAAACGTGAGGATCACAATTCGTAAATATATATATTAATTAGAAATTATGAGGATTAATGAGAACTACCCAACGAAGTAACTCACAGGACATTTATTCATCTGTAAACATCAAGTAAATGTACAATCATTAGAAAGAACACTGTAAGTATGGTTAAAATGGGACCACATTTGATTCTTTTGAACGTTGGTACTACCAATAATTGGCATACAAATGTCGTTAATAAACGGAAAGAAAGTACATTTGAGTATTATAATGAACATAAAACTTATAACATAAAACATATAATTAATAATAATTGCTCATAGACGACATAGCCATGACAGAATTGGTTTTCGTAAGCATTTAAAATTTGAAAATACATATGACAAGGAATGATATATAACAAGTCTTTATTATGTAATTATACACGACGTTTAATGCAGGGCTACACCTTGCCCCTTCATCACCCGAGGATGGCAGAATATTGATAACAACTTCTTTCTTGCACAGACAACGTTAGGGCGACTCCTAAGCCTACTTGCACAAAGCGATCTGAGCCTATGTTAAAGTATGGGAGTTACGATCATCTTAGCGCTAAGATCGCTTTGTGCAAGGGGGCCCTGGTCCCTTGGTAATGATAAAGAAGTTCTTATTCATAATATTCCTTATCATATGGTATTAAAGACTATCCAGACATAATGAAAACAATGCGAGATATGTTTGAATTTTTACTAGTGAGAGCGGAACATGTGTTGGCATTATACATTGGAACAGAAAGTAAGATTTTAGTCATTCGTTCCACCTGTTATTTCCTATGTGTCTCTATATGAAAGGCTGATCATGAAGTTGCTGCAAAAGTCACTATAAGTCTTCTTCAGTCACTGCCTTCGTGAATATATCTTAAAGAATCACAAATAATAATATCAATCATTTGATATTAAAAAGGACCCACACTTCCATAACGTTTCAAAATATTTTAAGGAAATATGCAAAATGAGCATTCATTCTTAAATATCTATTGTAAAGGTATTCATTGTCTGAAATAACAGAAGACATCGGTGTTTGGGGACAGACAGGTAACTAGTGTATGGGCTAAAGTAAGAAAACATGTTTTGGAAGACCTTTGTGAGAGAGGTTTAAAATCATCAACATATGTCACTGAATACGAACACTGATGTTGTCTTCTTTCCACAATGTTTTTGTGGAGGTCATGTTGGATTTCAAACTGGCCTACATTTCCTGTCTGCTATTGTCCTTATTTCTGGCCTTGATATTGTGACATTGTTAAAAGCGGCGTTAAACCCAACTCACTCACTCACTGATATTGTGACATAGCTATAGGCATGATACATATAGAATAAAACCTCTTTGTGTGCCCTTTCAATTGGTATGTATTCGTTATAGCTCAATTATAACAAAGCGGTTTGGTCAAGGGCTACACAACATTCAGGACGGACAATTCCAAAAGGTTTCAAAATACGTTAAGGAAATATGCAAACTGAGCATACATTCCGAAACATATATTGTAAATGCATTCATAATGTTTTGGAAAGAACATGGCAGCAAGGTTTAAAATCGTCAAAACATATAGCTGAATACGAACTCATGTTGGCTTTTTTCCACGATCTTTTGTAGTGTCCATTTTGGATTTCAACATCCACTATTGGCCACATTTGGAAATATATTTTTCCTTTATATTGTGACACATAGCTACAGGCGTGATACATATCAAATGAAAGCTCTTTGTGTGACCTTTCAATTGAAATATACTTATTATATCACAATGAAAACAAAGCTTATAGGTCAAAGGAGTAAGTGAGTTAGGATTTATGGTCACATCGGCAATATTTCAGCCATATAGTGACTAAATCAAGTTGTACATTAATAATACATAAATATAGACATTAAAATCTGTCGACAAAGGACACTAAAAACACTAGACTATCACAGGTGTAGATTTTAAAACTAGTATATCATAATAACATTCGTAACAATTCACAACAGTACACAATACAAATGGGCTATGGATCACCAATAGCCTAAGGTAGGTCACCATACTAGGTACCATGGGGACTTATAGGTCAAGAGCTACACAATATTCAGCTCCACGTGCAGCTCCCTCTCCACGTCCCTGACGGCGTTCCTGTTCGTCTCCTCCGAATCTGACGTGACGACCATGCCGGCATCCAACGCTGTGGTAAGCGTCGCTCCAAAGCTGTCAGAGCGTTGACGGTTGAACCTTTCTGAAATAGTTTGATGATATATAATATATATTGGGATTGAGGTACTGATTTATATAGATAAGGAGAGGATTGGAGTGGTGATTGGAGTACGAACCGTGACCAAATGGAGTATGGGAACTCGGTTGATCAACAAGGACAACGTCATGGGGCTTCTGCACTTGTCCATGTCTCGCTATCCGAGTTGCTATATCGATGTAGCACTTCATATTGGGAACAGCAATTGTCAGGACACAGGAATGACGTTTTATGACAGCAACAATGACGGCGGCTGTTTCCTCAGGTGAGCTAATGCCTGAATAATAAGAAGACGGTAAAAAAAAACATTTGGGGACCGGTCATATAATTATAATATTCTGGATATTTAGTGAGCACAGGATATATTGACGGATCGGAACTCATTATATCTAAGGTGTACAGGTTGTGCCACGTTACCTTCAGGTGGGAGTGGTATGACCACATGGTACCACTTCTTCTCGGTAGCTACACGTAGCCCTGTCGCTAATGCCTCTCCCATACCGGCCTCGCTGTCGCCATAGATGCGAATGATTCGTCCGGGCTTAACGCCGTCGTTAACGCCGTCTTGAAATAAATGTCGACGTGAGGCAGATCGTTTAAAACTTTGGTGAAAACACGAGCACAATTGGAAATAAGAAATGTAGTGTTACTCGTGACAGTTGTATATCATTTCATGCTTGTACTAGTCCGGACTGATGCCGTTTTTAGCGCTAGCACACTGAGGTACCATGCCGCAGTTTAACATGAATATCCCACTCAGACACAGTATACTGACTCAGAGCCGACCAGTCCTTGTTTTAGCCCCTTAATGCCTAGCGCCAGACAGGGTAACAACAAGTACCATCTTTTAACGTGTTTTGGTATGACGCGAACCTCGGGCCTTCCGCTCTCCGGGCGGACGCTCTACCATTAGAGCGGAGGCGGTCCTGAAATTAAGTGAATATCGAACAAGTGATATCAGCGTCATGACTTTAAATACAATATCATCAACTTTGGATGACAAGAAATCGGATAAAACGAAACATTCACAATGACAGCCAACGTTATTCTTTACGCTAATCTTCAAGTGTGAACTGAAGTATCGAGTCATTATTACACACCATATAAAGAGTTGATCTGGTTGAAAATCATTGTTGCTGGGATTAATGCCTGACAGAAACATTTCACTTTCTAATAATAATTCTTTCTTTAACATGTTTCAATTATCAAAGCTCCGTTCTTTTACAATCTGAACGTGTAACAATGCCAAGCTCGTAAATCGTTCTTTTGTTGTTTATTGTCATGGTCACCCCGGCCCGACCAGACCTGCCATGGCTTTTACTTAAAATCACTCATGAAGATCCGGGATCGTATTGATCTTCATAAACAATGCTTGTCCGTAGAGGCGACTGGCAGGACAGGGTTATCAGGCTCGATAACTTGGTTGATGTATGTCATCAATCCCAATTCGATGTTGATCGATGCTCATGATGATAATCACTAGATTTTCTGGTCCAGACTTAATCATTTTCAGACAGACGTCATATAGCTGGCATATTGCTGCGTGAGGTGTTAAACAACAAACAAGTAAACAAAAACAAAGTTAAAAGAAGTCAATGGCCGAAAACCTAAGGCCTTGTAGTTTACGCCGCTTTCTTTTGAAGATGTGTGTTCAATAAAGAGAGACCATCGGCTGATAATTCCCACTAGTCCATGCCATTAAAATGTAACAATTCACATACATGATCAATTATGTGTAAATATCATTATACAAACATATACGTATGATAATACATTTCTTAAAAAGAAAGTTAGCTAAACGTATTATCAATATGTCGTTTAATGTCATTTGCTTCCTATCCCAAATACGTGGATCGATGCTCATGATGTCATTTACTGGATTGTCTGCTCCAGACCCGATTTACAGACAGTCGTCATATGGCTGGAATGTTGCTGTGTGCGGCGTTTAACAACAAATAAACAAACAAACAAACAAACAAATGTAAGTTGCTCTCGTTTTGGGGAACACATTAGGAATGTAAAATTCCCTTGAAGGATAAATACATGAGACATTCAAGAAGGAAGTGGAATTTACTACAGTATCTCCTTTCACAGATTTTGCAGAATTTATGCATTCTCACATGTTTCTAGTATTTACCTGTGGGACAACATATTAATGGTGACATGACTAACATCAATGCGATGTTTTTGTGTTACTCTGAATATGGTAAAGATAACATAGTTACCTGTGTCCTCTCTAAGCACCAAGAGCGCAGTCTGCGTGGCGTTAGACACCTCTCTGATGCCCCCATTAATAATCTGGACTAGTGTGTCTGCAATCATGACTCTCAACTCGCACTTGGTCCCGACCGGTTTCCGTACCTCTAAATCCAATTAAAAAATTGGATGTCCCGGAATTACCAATCGGAAGAGAAGTGGAATGTGTTTTCATATTCATATCAACACAAGTTATATTACTGTTTCGTCACGCCGAAGACCCGGGTTCGATTCCCGACATGGGTACAATGTGTGAAGCCCATTTCTGGTGTACCCCGCCGTGATATTGCTGGAATATTGATAAAAGCGGCGTAAAACCAAACTCACTCACTCACTCATATTACTGTTTTGCACAAACACAAAGATGTAACTTAAAGTATAGCACTATGTAATTGAGGTCACCTTCAGTTAACTTGAAACAATTACCCCATCATTTTCAAATAACACCATGGTATTTCAAACTGTATATGCTTTAGAGCAAGAAAAGACAAGAACCTATATACTAGTACATATTTATGTCGATATGTTGTACATGTTTTACATGAGGTTATTGCGATGCAGATTTTATTATTAATGTAGATGCAGCTGTTGATCGATGTAACAACATTGCAAGCATATACATGACTGATCCAATAGGAGTTGTTACATTTTAAAATATTGGTTGAAATCCTACTATCAGAATAAGTGTGGAAATGTTTTCCTTAAAATATCAAATAGTCATACCTCTTTCCAAGAAGCCAGGTAAATTGCTATTTCTTCTCGGCCTGAAGAGGTTATAGAAGAATCCAAGTCGGTCTGAAAAAAGTAGCAATCCAGTGACTAAAAGCTAAGACTTGTGTGATGGAGTGAGTGAGTGAGTGAGTGAGTTGGGTTTAACGCCGCTTTTAACAGTATTCCAGTTATATCACGGCGTGTCAGCTTAATGTGGGAGGAAAGCCCGAAGTGATGCAGATCTCAGACGTTTACCACTTCGGTGAAACCCACGAGCACGGGTATGGTGCTGACAAACCTAGAAACATAATCGGGGCGAACCGGGATTCGAACCCACAATCATAGGTTTCTGGCGTGTCCAAGGGACGCAACTCTGCCCCCATAACCGGTGGTAACCCAATAAATAGGCAGTGTAGTTGTCAGATTTTCAGATCTGATTGCATTGAGCAACATTTTGTTTTTGACGTATGTTAACTAAATTTTGTCAACACTGTCAATTTTCATTACATGAAGAGAACAAATCCCGTTGACTCCCATACTGCATTGATAAGCAATGGTTTCTTCTGACAATTTCTTTATTCTGTTTTGTCGATTTAATGTTTTGTCTCGAAAAGAAATATATAAACTATGACCTGTATCATGCGATTATTGCGTATTGTATACACCCTCGTAAACAAAACTCCTGACTTATAATTTCACGCTTCTTTGAACAGTTAGTCAGTTTCATTACGACATGGCTGATTAACGTGTGACCAAAACCAAGGTGCGTGCAGGTCGTCGGAGAGTGAGAATGTTGCTGACGGACCAATAAACCTTACCAGGCCAACATAAAAGCACGCAAATGGCAAGTCTACAGCTTTACCTGACGTGCATGCTGTGACGTGACATTTCACACTGTGACGTGACATTTCACACTGTGACGTGACATTTTCACACAGTGACGTGACATTTCACAGTGTAACGCGACATTTCACACTGTGACGTGACATTTCGCTGACAAACCAAGGATCATAATCACAGAAAATCTGAAACTCTGGTACAGTTCTCCACTGCGAATTAAAGCGTCTTAGACCACTGGGCCACCCATGCCCCAATTTAACAAAGAACGTCTCGGTGTACTACCCACCTTCTGGGGGTGCTTCCAGCCATCTTGTCTTGAGCTTGTGAGTGATACGATGAGCGAGAAACAGCTAGGAGAAGAATGAAATACCAACAATTCAATAATTTCAAGCAAAGAAACTAATTGCGTAGTTGCGCCACCACGCTTGTCCCACAAAACAAAAATATCAAGAACCTTCACAATAACTACTAAATAGGTTACCGGTCTCTATACCTGCTTGACATCTTGCGTTGACTCAAGGCTGATAACTATGAATATTTCCTTCAGCGATTTCTGTCTTCTGTCTTGGGTGAACACATCAATGGCATGATACATGAGCTGTACAACATTCTTGGTAGGATACTGTAGGGCTCCTGTGCCGAATGCTGGCAGAGCAATTGTCTGAAATCCATCCTTGCAGGCCTGGATGAGACATCGGAACACCAGAGACCACAGCAACTGTGGGGGAAAATCTCCATATAAACAAAACGGTCTGATAATAAAACATTCTTATTTATGTTCATCGAGATGATTAATATCTCAGAAAAGCATTACAATGAACACCCCATGAACTACACGAATGAGTGAGTCAGTGAGTTGGGTGTAACGCCGTTTTTAACAGTATTCCAGTTATATCACGGCGTGTCTGCTTATTGTGGGAGGAAAGCACGAAGTGATGCAGGTCTCTGACGTTTACCACTTCGGTGAAACCCACGAGCACGGGTATGGTGCTGACAAACCTAGAAACATAATCGGGGCGAACCGGGAAACGAACCCACGATCATAAGTTCCTGGTGTGCCCAAGGGACGCAAATGTGCACATCGAAGTGTGGCGCCTTTGACGACAGCGCCACCCGTGCCCCAGACTACTCAAAAGAAAAAAATCTGATAATAAAAAACTATACGATTCTAGCTTAAAGTTTGCATCATTCAACGCCAAGTGAGGACTGTCATCACTGTGTTTATACCATAACGTTTTTGTGTCATATTTTCAGATGAAATATTTACTTGCCTTTCCCTGTGTTTGTGACGGGTGCAAGCGGTGGGGCAGAAGCTTGCACTAACCTTTTGCGAGTGAGTGAGTATGGTTTTACGCCGCTTTTAGCAATATTCCAGCAATATCACGGCGGGGGACACCAGAAATGGGCTTCACACATTGTACCCATGTCGGGAATCGAACCCGGGTCTTCGGCGTGACGAGCGAACGCTTTAACCACGAGGCTACCCGACCGCCCCGCGAACAACTTGCATCATCACTCTTTGATAGTGATTCACAAACACATGATATAGTCTGAATCATACAATGGGCTCTGAATTAAGCAGAAATTTCAGAGATGAGTATCGAAAAGATTAACTGTCTTCCGTTTTAATTATTATTATCATAGCGTACAAATATTATTAATTGTGAGAATATTGACTATAGCGTTTTGCAGATTGATCAATATGAGTTGAACTTTTTAATTTTGAAAAGTATAAGATCTATATTAAGCATTTAATTGTGACAATATTGACTATAGCGGTTTGCAGATTGATCAATATGAGTTGAACTTTTTAATTTTGAAAAGTATAAGATCTATATTAAGCATATGAGGTACATCTTGAGCTTAATTTTAAAATTTGAAAGTTTTTAAAACGTATCTCAAATAATGTGCCATTTAAACGGCTGACATCACTTCTTTTTCGAACTCATTACCTTGTAACACTTTAAAGGGGGTGCTGTGTCGTTGAACCCTTTATAGAATGGAAGACATCCGTGGTAGATCTTTTTACAAGTTTCAAGATTTCCAGAACGACCCACCGCCAAATCACCGTGATCTATCCCGTTAGGATAGGTGTGGCTTAAGCATGTCTGTATGTCGGAACCAGCCGCCTTCAGCAGGCTGTAGGACACACCAAACCCGGAACTCAGGTTCAGTTGTCTGTTGGTTGTATTTACTATGACATCAGCCTGGAAAAGCAGAAAATGATCATATATATTACGACAAGTAAACCGCCTTCCCCCCACTCACACCCTATCGTGAAGATCCAGGTTACAAGCAACCCAGGGGTGCTCAGAATCGCTGACTTGTTTGATGCTCGATAAACATAGACACACACGCAAGCAAGCACGCACGCACATACTGAGAACAACATATCAAACTCAAATTATCAACATTCTCTTGAACAACTTACGTTTTGTTTTTCTATCCTATTGAAGACAACGGTCACTTTAAGTCCTTGATTTTCTGGAAACATACACATAAACATAAACTTATTCACATTTCATATATCATAACTTTTACATAGAATATTTAATATCCTAATGATGTAAGTAATAAAGAAACGGAATGCATTTTAATATAAACAGAACTATTTTTAGTTTTAATACCTGAAGAATAAAATGTTTCGAATTATTAATTGCAAACATAAAATATTAAACATACATATGTGTATAGTACACACAAATTGCAGACAAAAGCATAACCCGCCAATGCATTTCGAAAAGACCACATTTTGAACGCAAAAGTACATAATCATGTAAGTCTGTATCCGTGTGTACAGAGTGCAGTGTGTTCAAGTATTGAACTATAGCATTTAGTCTGGTTTGTCGTTTTACGCCGATATATTCCAGCTATATGACGACGGTCTGTAAATAATCGAGTCTGGACCAGACAATCCAGTGATTGATATAATGAGTATCGATCCAGCCAGTTGAACGTGATATGGGTCCAAACGGACACAAAAATGGAAAAGAATGATTACCAAGCAGTCGTCAAGTTTTTTACTTCAGAGAAAAATACTCCTCAAGAAATTCATGACCGCATGTCACACGTGTATGGGATTAGGTGCCCCAGCTATTCCAATGTTAAACGTTGGCAGCTATGTTTAAGGCTCGGGGAACAAGCCTTGATGATGACTCGAGGTCTGGACGTCCCTCAACTTCTATCTGTCAGATACTGTCAGATAGACGCATTACCATTGCTAAACTTGAGGACGACACAGGTCACAGGGGTGTGGCAGTGCGCGAGGCTGTTGTTGAGGAGTTAATCATAAAATCAGAATATACATTGTCCCGTAGTTCACAGCTTTTTATTGATAGAAAATCTGCTTCTGTAAGAATGCCCCAAATACATCATTTTGGAGGCTTCAGACAAATGGCATTGTCACTGTTAGCCTTGGAATGGCACACCATTCCACTTCTCCAGCACCAAGATCAGTGAAGAAAGTTATGGCCACTGTATTCGGGAATACCAAATCTTCCTGACTTCAATTGAAAAGTTTCACTATCAATATAAGAAGTGAGTTGAAAAGCAGGTAGATTATGTTGAAAAATACAATTACAAACACTTTCACAAGTGTTGGATTGTTTGTTATGGTTAAAACTTTTGGACCAGCCCTCGTACCAAACTGCTTCAAGAATCTAAGAAAATAGGTCATTTGTTTAATTGCTTGTCTTATGCCTACCTGTTTACATATAAGTACAATTTAATTTCCATATTGTTAGCGTTGGTGCTGTGCAATAATGACATGTTTGAAACGACCAATTTGCAGCAAACATTATGTCAATATCTTCATTTGATGGGACTGACCTTGTGTAAATGGAACTGCAGATTGTGCTCTAGGTCGACTGTCCACTGTTTTTACATTCGGCTTATACGCAATAAGACATTTATGTTTTTTGCCAATGGTTACAACAGTTTCAGCAAATTTCCTTACATCGACCCCAGTCTCAAAACTGAATGTGGAGCATTTCACTTTATCAACGAGATCACGCATTTTTACAGTAGCCCACATAACTTCAACCGCGTGACCTTTAACCTCGTATCCACGTTCACTGTCAGAGATGGTCACATCTTCTTCCTTTTCTATTTTCTGGATCTCATCCCGTTTGTGTAAACATAGATATCTCAGGTGTCCTTCATCAACGGGCAACAATTCAGTAGCAACACGACTAGCTGAATCTTCTTTCTTTGGAACATCATCAACTTTTGGGTGCAGTGATGGCTGTTCTTGTGTTAATGTTCTCTGTGGTTCTTGATCTCTTTGGATTGATGTCGCGTTGTCCAACAGATGGCTAATTGGAGCTGGGTTTTCTTCCTCTGGAACGCTGGTCCTACTTTGGTAGAGGGAAGCCTGTTTTTGAGCAGATGTTTTTCGTGGCCGATTACCTCTAAGGATGGATGTAGATATCCTTGGTGATCTCTGTTTTTCTTGGTTCTTCTTGTGACTGGTGTCCCACATTTCTCGTAAATTATTAAGCGTTTCCTTCAGCACATTGATAGTGTCTGCCATGCCAACAAGCTTCAAACTTCCGTTGGTCTTATCAATGACGACAAGCACGTCCTGGTCGATGGACAACTGTGGCACACCAACCTGATGGATATCAGCCACTTGAGCCATCTGTTCCAGTTCATCACTGCTGAAGGTGAGTTCCATCTCTAAGACCGAGCTGGCGATGACATCCAGAGCTTTACCGTGCCCCTTTACTCCTTGGGACTTAATGTCAACCTCTCCTTGTTGAAATCGAAATGTTGCCTTAAACCCTTTCGTTTCCAGTTTACTACACAGAGTGTGTCTGGCTGTGTCTCTATCTTGGAGAAATAGCTGTTGAATTGTCGAAAGGGGTATTAGATAAGAGCTTTGTCTTGTGTCGTTTCTCTTGTCCTGAGCTTCTACAGATGATGTTAGCGGCTGTACTGAATCTATGCGTATAGATGTGTTTATCGAAGCCCTTTCAACTGTTAACGGTTGCTCTGAAAAAATATATAATGCTTTCACAGTTTTTGAATACAACAAAATAATGGCCTACTCATGTTTGAGATCTTGGTATTTGTCATATCATAGGTCGAGAGAAAATAGTTAATTTCGTACAGTGATAGTGTTAAACCAGGTTATCATTTGATAATATCGTTTGAAACTGAACTATTTATTTACTAATCTGAACACACATAGTGACAATGGAATGTTTTACGGCAGATAATCGAGGCTGATTATTCTCTGGCGTTGGTGTTTTATATTATATGTTGATGTACTTACCATTCTCATTTTTGTCCCCTTTATCTATCGTTATGAAGTCATCTTCCGACTTCAGTGAGCCATACTGAGAGAGTGTACCCTCTTCCTCTGAATGCATTGCCCGAGAACTGACTTGGACCAGCGTGGACCTGCTCATAGCTATGTTGTCCGATCTGGGCATCCCAGCACCTGTATTGATATAAATAATTAAGTATCTCTACAACACACGACTGTCATAATATTTACATATCATGATCAGCCATATACCCAATTAGCGCAGTCAGATATATTGCATCTTCGGCAGGTACAGCAAATTACATTCCAAGATCTACACAGTCTGAGAACTTTACACAGACAGCAATCTGCACACAGAGATCTACAAACTGTCTTCACCCAGTCAGTTATCTACGGATAGTCTAGATTTACACTAACTTTATGATCTACATACAATTCGAGATGTTGTAACATACGAGTCGCACATATATTGCCTTCACCTCTTATGTAAAAGTATTCTTTCGACTTCTGGCCAGACTGGGCATCTTTGGTGGGGATAGCGGATGTCCCTTCCTTTGCTCGCGTCGCCAGGGCACTGAGTTGGGCTAGCAGGGGCTGCCAGGAGACTTGGTAGCTTCCTCCGGCGCCACTCATAGCTGCGTTGTCAGACACGGGGATTCCAGGATCTGTCGATGCACTGATATCATTAGTGTCTCTACAACTCATTGCACTTTCTCAAAATTCAACATTGAAATAATGAATACAACATTACAGCAAGATGCGTCACCTTTTCCTAGATCGATTGTAGGAAACGATAAAATGTCTATTCTAAAATCATGTTCATAATGGCAATTATATACACAAACGTCACCCGTCGACGTAATATTTTGTTTATCAGTGATGCTCTTCACCTTCATAATGCCACGACGTTCGCGCAACTACAAGGTGTGTACTCAAAGTAAAACGTATTTGTTCGTGTGTTCTGTGATGGATCATAAGCAACTGCAAGGACTGACATATTCAGGTGATATACCACTCATGATCAGTACCTGTCCCCCAGTCATAGGTCTCCACACAATTGGTAATCTAGACTAAATCAGGTGTGTCCACACAGACACTGATCTACACAAAGGCAGGGATACTGAGATGTTCCCTTTAATGTTGGGTGTCGTGTTTTCTGGAAAGTCATTTTGGGGGATGATATTGAGAACCAATTTCCCAGAATAAAGAAGTTTCATTAACCAAATTTCTTATTTGAGATAGCTGAGCCTTTCCGAGTCATCAGTTGATGTAGGTTTCCAGTCGCCCAGATCTCCAGGTACCAAGAACATGATTTTGTATCGATCAGGAAATGGTTTCTAGCAATGCAGAATTTCATGCGAGCTCGCTCGTAATAGTCACTGAGCTGTTTTCAGCCAGAGCTTATATCATTGTGTAGGTCACGTCACTCTGAACATGCAAGTGATGATAACATGTGGCCTATTTTTGTCGACCTTAACAACAATGCGTATGGTGTAAAGCCAAAGTCTACACTGCTATGACATTCACATACATGTATGATACTTTTGGTACTTGATGTAAAACAGCAGTGCGTTTGAAACGACTGACTTTGAGAGATCAACAACTTGATTATTTATTCGTCAATATGATTCTACAAATCTAAAGTGTTCTAAAAATGAATTAAAATAACTTTTCAACTCAAATTTAAAACATTTTATTAAGCCATAGCGTTCGACAAAGTTTTTATTCTGTCATCAAAATTCATGAAGAGATTGAACTTTTTTTTCACTTTTCAAACCTAGTAAGGAAAGTCTACGTGTTTACGTGGACATCTAAATCTCTGCATTTAAATTAAAAGCAGATGAAGTATCGTGAAGAATATTTCGGGGAAGTTTGGCTAAGACACGACACTTTTACGTGATCACGGGTTCGAATTCCATAGTTTTAGCAAACTGGAAAACGTCCAAGAACTACATCACTTCACATGCCGTGATATAACTGAAATATTGTTGAAATCTGTGTAACTCACAACAAGGCGGACATTTGGTATACGATCCAACATAATAAACGTACACATGAGAAGGGCCATATGACTTGAATACATGATTGGTTCGAGATCTCTGGCGAGAAAGTGAGAAACGAATTGTTCAAGCTTGAAGCTGTGCGCATTACATGATGTCATTGAGGTATGTCCACAAAAACGTGAGTCAGTTGAACAAATTGTTTCGCTATCACACATCAGTAAAAATGCAGAGGACTGTGACCTATAGAAGTTGCACAAACTTGAGGCAGGTGCAGTGATCAATGCGTGGTGGTGTACCCACTGTAATGTACTTACAATATGTGACCGTGACCTCACGCTGTAGTACGAAAGAACGTCACTGAATCCAGTGTTGAGAACCCCGATGCCCCTCCATCGCCATTTGTATCTGATTCAGCTCGGTGAATGTGACCAAATGTAATGAAAATGGACCAGTCGTGGATATCCTTGACAGGGAGTGATACGATGTTGTGTTATCTTGATGAAACCAATAACTGACAAACACCTACATTCGTCATAAGTCTCTGATATGAGTGTTGTGATTCCAGTGTTGACAAGATGGCCCGGGCTGGGCTAAATGTCTGGTTCAGTGCAGTGGGTGTCCAGTTTTCAACACCCCGTGATCTGTAAAGTAGACAGCCAGAGGTCATTAAGTTAGAGTTGACGTCATTACCTTGACAACCATGTTAGTAGCCCAAACTGGTCTAACAATAGGTGTTTGCCCTGCCCTGCCCTGCCCTGCCCTGCCCTGAACGTTTAGCGTCGCACTGCATTCAACGAGTGGACATATTTTGTGGTGGCAGTGTTGTGGAGTGGGCGTTCATTCCTACACTGGAAGGACATCCCTTGTGCATTTCCCAGGCAACTTAAAATCTGTTATTTACTGTACTAAGACCATTCGGACCCATGTCATTCCATTCATGAATAAAGATAACGTTGTTTTCCAACATAGCATTGCCCGACCTCACTCGATTCCAGTTCTTCAGTGGCCATCCAGATCACCAGATCGGAACCCAACTGAACATGTTTAAAAAGAACTTCATAGCCATGTAACGACGACGTAACCCTGAGCTTCAGACATTTCAGGACTTGTTTTGGCCTTGCGACAAGAGTGCAATAACATCACCAGGCAGTTCGTGCGGAAACGTGTTGTCTCGATGGGTCGACAGTTTCATGATGTCATTAATTCCAGTGGTGATCATACACGATATTGAAGTGGTATGTCCTTGATCTTTGATCATTGTTAAATGAATTATTCAAACACTGACAATCACACTTTGCTATATCATTGTAACCAAATGAGCAGCTCTTTATATTAAAACTGTCATTGGATTCAGCTATGCGTTTCTGTTCTAGGAGTATACTATCCACCAACGAGGACAGTGTTTGCAATATGGTGGGGAAACTATATGCATGTAGACATGAAGGCAAGCTTCCTCCTTCGCTATAACGTTATCTGTGGATTGACCTTACATCTCTGTACAGCATGAACAGTCTCATTATCTTATAAACGTAATGGTTATGGACAGTTCGATCAACACAGATTCAACAGGCATTCCGACATTAATATCGCATTCATTATATCATATGACTCTGTCACTGGAACAAACGAAGGACGATGAACCTCGAACCAAACAACATGAAAGTGTGGCCTGAAACATCATTCTGTTTTTCCTAAAGAAATATTGTTGTTTTTTGTCTGTTCACCATAATTTAATAACTTACTAGAATAAATTACACATGCATGTTTGAAGTCCTAAAGTAGCTATTTTTAGAGGGTATTGGTTGAATGCGCTTTTAATACTGAACCAGTGTGTAGGAAGCTGTCAAACGGTATTACTACAATCATGAATGACTCTCGCACAGCATACCTAAGCACAATTGTGTATCAGTAAAAGGGGCAAAACCTTTTCCCGTAGACATTTGTAAGATTCCGGCAACATTATATGCATATGTTCATGAATTAGTGTCAAATAGTGATGATGATACCAAGTGTTTGCGAAAACGTCAGCGTATCCTGCCCCACAGTGTTGACTGGGGGAAGTAATCACAGGTGAATACAGGTATGATCCACTACAGCAATGGCGGAGAGACGATAGTCTTACCTACAGCGTCATAGCCGGCTACATAGTGAGTACTGCGATGAGAGTTATGATGAACATATAAATATGACATGGCATAATATATAACAAGCTTTATTATATTATTATACACAACGTTTTAGGGCTACTCCTGGCCCCTTCAACTGATAATGATAAAGAAGTTGTTGTTCATAATATTCCTTATCATATGGTATTAAAACTTGCCAAGGCATAAGGAAAACAATGCTACAATGTTTTAATGTTTACTAGTGAGAGGGGAACATGCGTTGGCATCACACATTGGCACATAAAGTCAGATTTTTGTTAGTCTTTCAACGCGTAATTTCCTCAGTGACTCTATATGGCTGAACATGCCTTAAACGAAGGTGCTGCAAGAGTCACTATGAGTCTTCTTCAGTCACTACCTTCGTTAATGTTCTTAAAGAATCACAAGTAATAATATCATGAAAAGGATGGACCATTCCAAAATAGTTTAAGGTAATATGCAATCTGAGCATTCATTCTGAGATATATATTGTAAATGTATTTATTGTCACAAGTCACTATATGGCTGAAATAGTGCCGATGCGACGTTAAATTTTAACTCACTCACTCATTGTCAGAAATGACAGGAGACATGAGTGTTTGGGGATAGACAGGTTACCAGTGTATTGGCTAATGGAAGAAATGGAAGAAGCTTCGCAGAAAGGTTTAAAATCATCAACATATGTCACTGAATATGAACACTGATGTTGTCTTCTTTCCATGGTCGTTTTTGGAGTCCATGTTGGATTTCAAACTGGCCTACATTTCTCATCTGCTGATGGCCATATTTAGAAAATACCTGTGTTTGATATTGTGACAAAGCTGAAGGCGTAATACATATCAAAAAAATTAACCTCTTTGTGTACCCTTTCAATTGATATGTACTCGTTATAGCTCAATTAAAAGAAAGTGGTTTGGCCAGGAACTACACAACATCCAGCTCCACATGCAGCTCTCTCTCAACGTCCCTGGCGGCGTTCGTGTTCGTCTCCTCCGAATCTGACGTGACGACCACCTCTGTGGTACACGTTTCTCCAAGGCTCTCAGAGCGTTGACGTGAGAACTTTGCTTTCCACAAGGAATCTGAAACAGTCGGATGATATGAAAGATAAAGTGGGGTTGAGGTATTGTGGCGAATACGAAACATGGCCAGTGGAGATTGGGGAACTGTTCAGCAACGAGGACTTACCAACGAGGGAAACGTTGCTCACATCAGGAGGCTCCTGAACTATTCCATGTCTCGCTATCCGAGTTGCTACATCGATGTAGATGTTGGTATCGGGAACCGCGAGTGTCAGGACATATACACCACATAAACGACGTTTTATGGCAGCAACAATGGCGGCGGCTATTTGATCAGGTGAGAGAACGTCTGAAAAAAATAACAACGGTGAAAAATAACATTTGTAAAAGCAGAAGATATTTTCAAACTGCATCAAGAAATACAATTTGCGTCTGAATGTAGCCTTCCAGATCAAGACACATTACATCACGTTACCTTCAGCTGACAGTGGTATGGTCACATGGTACCACTCCTTCTCGGCAGCTAGACGTAGCCCTAACAGCATTGACTCTCTCACTTTGGCCTCGCTGTTGTCCTCGTTGTTGTCCTCGCTGTCGTCCTCATCGTAGGCACGGATGATTCTTCCGGGAACACTGGTGGAAGGATCAACCACACCGCTCGTCCTTGCTGGAAATAAGAGACAGTCAGTGTGTTTCCTTTAACGTTTCTTTGTGCAGAATGTCGCTGCATGCCAGCTTAATGTGGGAGAAAAAGCCGAGGTGATGACGTTTACTACTTTGGAAAAAAACACGACCCTATCATAGATCCCGCCACCATTATAATGGGAGGGGCTTGTTTGATTAATTTGGAGGCTCTTCATGACAGAATGTGCCCTTATTTTCTGTCTGATGATCCTCTTGTGAAGTATATCAGGACTGTTCATCAGAACTTGATGGAAACAAGGCATTTTGCTAAACGAGCCAAGGATGTGGGACATTATCTCAATGTCAATGATGATTTTGTTGATGGTTCTGAACTGCTAGACGGGACAGTAATGAATGTCAACCAAGCAAAGAACCATATATAATCGGCACAGGCTCAGGCTCTCTGAACGACTACTGCATCGAGTTTATGTGCAACGTATATATTGAGGAGAAAAGCAGCCTCGCAGGCCTGAAAAGTGAAACGGAAGGCTTTCTATTTGTTTCTACCTGTCAGTGTGTGATTTTGTTTTAAGATGTAAATATGAAATGTAGATTAAGCAATGAATTTAATGAGACTGTCCAACAGATTGTCAGTGGATGCCCCGCTTTGGCACAAACACAGTATTGTAAGCGACATGATGATGTGGGTCGATCCTTTTATTACTGTCTTCACCATGCTTGTGCTTTCGACAGACGTCCATCCATGGTTCGACCTCAGACCTATCCAAGCGAACAAACATGCTCTTGTCCGTTTTGATAAATCCAATGAAATCAATTATATTACTAAATGTTTTTTCCCTTGACACTTGACACTAATGTGATTGCCAAGATTCAGGGAACACATGGGACATATGCTCGATTTCGAAATGTTTACTAATTGAATATAAACCAATACAATTAATTTCTAAAAGAGAATGACAGTTATAATTAGAAATACGTTGCCATGTCGTGTAATTTTGTTAGCTCTGTAAATGACATAATATTGGGGAAGGATGTGAACACAATAGAAAAATTCTATTGATGTGTAAATCAAAGGAAATTCAATAGGAGTTTACTACAGTATTTCCTTTCTTTATAGTTAATATGCTATCTTACATGTTTCTTTATGTTTGTCTTTCACCCTTAACCCCACTTTAGGGTGGCATGTCCAACAACAAGGCGAAGTTTGTGTGTTACGCTCATTATGAAAAGAAAACAAAGTTAAATACTCCGTGTATCCCTCTCTCTCCACAGCAGGAGTGAAGTCTGTGTGACGTCACACACCTCGCTGATGCCCCCATTAATAATCTGGACTAGTGTGTCTGCAATGATGATTCTCAACTCGCACTTGGTCTTGACCGGTCTCCGCACCTCTAAATGCAATTAAAAAATAGAGTTACATAACCCGTTTTATTTCTGGGAACTCATTTTGTCCAGAGACCCTCTGCGCTGTGATCAGTCTCTTGGTGAATGATACAATTTGGACATGGAAGTTGAAAGCTACACATGGATAGCACCATGTAAGCAGGTAATGTTGAGTCAACCAAATACAATCATCCATGGTATTTACAAATATAACACATGGGATTACAATACTTGGTACATAGAAAACAAGGAACTACATTTAA